CCTTGAATATTCATTGGAAGGACTGATACTGAAGCTGAAGATCTAATACTTGGCTGTCTGATGCAAAGGGCCAACTCATTGGAAAAGACCCTGATGCTGGGAAAGATTGAAGGCAGGAGAAGAAGGGGACAACAGAGGATGAGATGATTGGATGGCATCACCGACTCAATGATCATGAGTTTGAGCAAGCTCTGGGAGATGGTGAAGGACAGGGAAGCCTGATGTGCTGCAGTTCATGGGGTTGCAAAGAGCCATGACTTAACGACTGACCACCAACAACAAATATAAAGTTTGTTTTTTTCAATGTAAAAGTATTTATAAGTTTGTGTTTTAAAAATAAATCTGGGAAAGTCTAAGACAAAGTGGGATGGTTGGTAACTCTAGCATCATAATCTACAGTGTATGTTAACCTGTGTGCATCTAGAGATCTTTCTAAAAATTGTGGTAGAAAACACGTAACATAAAATTACCATGTTAACCATTGTAAGTGTATAGTATAGCATAGTAGTCTTAACTATATGCACCATGTTGTGAAACTAAGCTCCCAGAACCTTTTGTAAAATTGAAACTGTACACCCATTGAACAACAACTCCCTTTTTCTCTCTCTCTCATCAGCTCCAGGCAACCACCATTCTACCTTTTGTTTCAAAGTATATTCTTTAAGCACAACAAAATTAAACTAAAATCAATAACAGAAAGGTAACAGGAAAGTCTCTAAACACTTGGAAATTAAACAACACACACTTCTATACCATCCAAGAGTCAAAGAGTAAGACTTGAGGGAAATTAGAAAATATTCTGAATTGAACAAAAATGAACTGAACAACATACATCAAAACTGTGTGTTGGGGGATAGAGTTAAAGTAGTGCTTGGAGAGAAATGTATAGCATTAAAAGTTTATGTTAGAAAAGAAAAGTCTCAGAGCTAATAATCCAGGCTTCTGCTTTAGGAACCTAGAAGAAAAGAAAAATAAATGCAGAGCAGGCAGAAGGAAGGAAAAAAGACAGTAACAGAAATCAATCAAATTTAAAAAATAAGACAAAAATCAATGAAATCAAAACCTGGTTCTTTGAAAAGATCATAAAATTGATATAACTGTAGCAAGATTGACCAAGGAAAAGAGAAGACAAATTACCCACAGAGGAGTGGAAGAGGGGCCATTACTACAAATTCTGCAGAAATTAAAAGAATAATAAAGGAATATACTGAACAGTGATACACACATTACCTCAATTGTGATGAAGTGGGCCAATTCCTTGAAAACCAATAACTACCAAACTCACCTAAAATGAAATCCATAACCTGAATAATCCCACAACTACTAAAAAAAAAATCGAATCCATAGTTTAAAGCCTTCTGAAAAAGAAAAAACTCGGAGGTTGCTGCCATTCCCGAGGGACTAGCATGCATTTCTCATGCTGGCACTCCACTCTGTCTCTGGAACTCATCTTTCTAGATCCCCCCATCACTCCTGGTTCTCCTTTCAAGGAGGGCTATTCATACCCTGCCCCAAGCATTCCTTCACTGAGGCCTGTGCTCATTTCTCTAGTTCTTGGGCTGAAATCCTTCTTGTCCTCCAAGACCCAAGTCAATGCCTTTTGTATTCTCCCCAGATTCCCTCAGGACAACAAGCAATGGCTGTACGTGGGCCACATCATTCTGGTTCCTAACAGAACTGTCTCCACAGGCCCTACCTACGTTCTTGTCAAAGAACCCTGGGCGGGCTTCCCTGAAGGCTCAGTGGTGAAGAATCCACCTGCCAATTCAGGAGACACGGGTTCAATCTCTGATCCGAGAAGATCCCACTTGTCATGGAGCAACTAAGCTCATACACCACAACTGTCGAACCTGTGCTCTAGAGCCTGGAAGCCACAACTACAGAAACCATGAGCCACAATTACTGAAGCCCCTGAGCCTAGAGCCCATGCTCAGCAGCAAGAGAAGCTGCTGCAATGTGAAGCCTGCACATTGCAACTAGAGTAGCCCCCACTTGCTGCAATAAGAGATTTGCACAGCAATGAAGATCCAGCAGAGCCAAAAAAAAAAAAAAAATGATGCCTGGGCAAAATAACCACAATGGAACTTGCAATAAAAATGCTATTGTGGAGATGGCGAGATAAAGTTCCACATGAGATAATATTTTTTATAAATTTATGACTGCTGCTGCTGCTGTTAAGTCACTTCAGTTGTGTCCAACTCTGTGTGACCCCATAGACGGCAGCCCACTAGGAACTAAAAAAAGAACTATATACTAGGAAAATTTTTACATTTTCCCAGGAACTGGTCTGCTTCACCATGCCAGATGAGACCAGAGAGCTACTGATGTTTTGCTTTTTTCTCCTGGCAGTCAGAAAGCCCAGTGCCTGTTTTCAAGCTACTCTGTCCACTGTTTATTTTTCTTTTCTTGGAGTTTGATTTTCCACTTGTGTTCATGTTTTGCTATTGCAGTGCTGGTGGTGTCATGGTAAAATCACTGCCAATCCTGGAGTACCATGTTTATGGCAGAAGCTGAATCAATATCTGAATGAACAAATGTCTCTAAGATGCATGTGCTATTCATTCAGAGCAACACACTGGGAAGGCAGTACTTCCCTAATAGCATTTCCAGTTGGTGAGAGGAAAGAGTGCTGGGCACCTATGGGGACAAATGTTCACTTACCTTGGGGACCTACTGGTGGAATAAGAGTTGTTTAGCAAAGACTTTGGTGACGTGTAGGTTTACGACTTGACTTTAAATAAGCCGGAGGCCTGCCCCAGAGGACTTCAGGGCATCTGCTCAGAGCTTGGGAAATAAACAGATGCCTTTCCTCTCAGTGAAGAGGAAAAGACCCACAAAGCCCAGCCCTCCTGAATAATCCCTTGAATCTGAAAACCACAACCTGGGGTCATGGGAATTTCACACACTGCTTTGTAGAGATGTCCAAGTTTCACTAAGAATAAGAAGATGTAAAGGATGCCTCTTGTTTACTGTTTGGCTTAATAAACTTTTTGGGTCACTTTTCACTGTGTCACTGCCATCATCATCACCCCAGATTCTCCTGTCACCTACAGGTATTATATCCATGTACATATTAAAAAATCTTAAATATCTACCCTGTATGATATGCTTCCTAATCATGTGACAGTGTTAATTCAAACAATAGCTAATGATCTGTCTTTTCTTGGTTTGGAGACAGAAAAGCTGACACACTTCAAAACCGGATGACTAGGCTTCCAGGTGGCACAGTGGATAAGAACTTGCCTGCCAAAGCAGGGGACACAGGTTCGATCTCTGGTCCGGGAAGATCCCGCATAACACCAGGCAACTAACCCCACATACCACAACTACTTAGCCCGTGCTCTGCAACTACAGAAGCCACTGTGACGAGAGGCCTTCTCACTGCAAAGGAGAGTAGCCCCACAAGAGGCAACTAGAGAAAATCCTCGAAAAGCAACAGAGACTCAGCACAGCCAAAAATAAATAAATACATAAAAAGAAATTTAAAAAAAAAACTGGATAACCATGTCTGCAGGATGAACTCTCAATGCTTGGCCTGGCATTTTACACCCTCCCAATCTGGGTCCAGCTTACCACTCTACTGCAGTCCTGTAGATCCTGACATAAGCCTTCACTTAATCTAGACAGAGCTATTAATATTTACTCCTGCCTGAGGAGGGGTTGGAGAAGGCAATGGCACCCCATTCCAGTACTCTTGCCTGGAAAATCCCATGGACGGAGGAACCTGCTGGGCTGCAGTCCATGGGGTCGCATAGAGTCAGACACGACTGAAGCGACTTAGCAGCAGCAGCAGAGGAGGGGTCCTCACTCAGTCCTACCACTATGCCTTTGCCCACTCATCCCCTTGCCTGGAATGTTCTTCCATTTTGGATCACTCACAAACAGTTTTCAGGCTTCTTTAACTTTTCTGGCCATGATCGTCTCTCCTCTCTGAAGCACTTCCTGTACCACTTACTTACGACTTAATTATAGTGGTCTTGAATCATCATTTAGCTTCTCAACAGCAGGGATCAAATCACCCTTTCCTGAGACACGTACACCCCAGTGTTCATCGCAGCACTGTTTATAATAGCCAGGACATGGAAGCAACCTAGATGCCCATCAGCAGACGAATGGATAAGGAAGCTGTGGTACATATACACCACGGAATATTACTCAGCCATTAAAAAGAATTCATTTGAATCAGTTCTAATGAGATGGATGAAACTGGAGCCCATTATACAGAGTGAAGTAAGCCAGAAAGATAAAGACCATTACAGTATACTAACACATATATATGGAATTTAGAAAGATGGTAATGATAACCCTATATGCAAAACAGAAAAAGAGACATAGATGTACAGAACAGACTTTGGGACTCTGTGGGAGAAGGCGAGGGTGGGATGTTTCGAGAGAACAGCATTGCAACATGTATAGTATCAAGGGTGAAACAGATCACCAGCCCAGGTTGGATGCATGAGACAAGTGCTCGGGCCTGGTGTACTGGGAAGACCCAGAGGGATCAGGTCGAGAGGGAGGTGGGAGGGGGGATCGGGATGGGGAATACATGTAAATCCATGGCTGAATCATGTCAATGTATGACAAAAACCACTACAATATTGTAAAGTAATTAGCCTCCAACTAATAAAAATAAATGAAAAAAAAAATCACCCTTTCCTTTGTTTCCTGTGTCCCCCACCAGCAGTACTAGTCACAGAGGTGGTGGTCAACAAATACTGGCTGCATATATGATAACCACAGAGGGCCAGAATTTAAAATACACAGCTATTAGTTCTTAGTTGAAGTCACTCTGCCAGAGTGTCAAGCTAGCATAGGCAGAATGATGGGAGGAGGGCCTGGCATCAGATAGTTGACATCTCCATGGCTCTAAGAGTCATTTGCACACCCTCTAGAAGCGCCACTCTTGTGGAGGGAGGGCAGGCAGAGTGTGTGGTCTCGGACTTCAGGAGCATCCTTTCTGGCCCGCCTCTCCAGGGTTAGTGGTGGCTGATGGGTCTTACCTTATCTGCATCCCTTTTCTACAGGAGCACATGTCCTTGCGCAAGAAGAGACTGTTTAGGGTGACTGCCCCGATCAAGAAGAAGAGCTGCTTCACTGCCTGCCTCACGATCTCAGGGTCCAGGCCATTCTGGCACATGGTGCTGTAGAAGTAGCTCAGTTGCTGCAGGATGGAGGTCATCGTGTAGGCATCCGTGTCATCTATGCTGGAGGACCGCTTCCGGAAGCCTGTGGGCTTCAGGCCAGAAATGCCCTGCAGACTCTCGTACTCCAGCATGCCTGGCACTACGGAGAAAAATGGAAGCTTTTCTTGCACGTGCACTGGGGACACCCAGCGGACATTTCCCCTGCTCTCCTGTGTCTGTTTCAGGGAGTGGGACAATTTTCACAAGAGTTAGTGTAGATACAGCTGTAACAGAGAAAGCAGAAGGATGGAGGGCTGGGGAACACCAGGGTGTAAGGGGTGGATGGGAATGAACCACCATCTACAGCAGGGGAACAGTTCCTCTTCTTCCAACTTGACAGGAGAGAAAGATGGTTAGCGTGACAACTCATGGTCTGGAACTACTTAAAGCCTACAGTATTTAAATTTCAGAAAACTGAAGAAAGTATACAAGAATTTGTATACAAGAGTATACAAGTATACATGAGTAGGGCTCTAGGATTTCTAAAATACTTGGCTTAGAACCAGGATTAGCCACATAATTAGCAGCAGTTCTCCCAAATCTTCCCCTACAGGATGGATCCCCCTTACAGAAAGAAAACTATGACCCATGTACTTTTATATATGTAATCATTTTAAGCAATCAGAGAATTAAATAGTGGGCATTTATATTAGTAAAGTTTCTTGTTTTAAAATTATGTTCTTTGAAGGTACAATAGAGAATCACACTTATCTAGGTGATATTGTGAATCTCTTATTTGCATTGTCGTTAGGGAAAATCTCTAAAAATAGTATTACTTGAGGAAAAAATGATTCTCTTCCTTTGTGAGTATCATGGTTGTATCACCTCTGAAAACGAGTGCTTGTTTTCGGGACCTGTAGACGTTTTTGTGTGAACGTTTGCTTATACCACTGGAAACATGACCAAATCACAATCTGGATTGTCAACACCACACTGGCCTTTTCTGCTACTATGAGTACTAAATATCACCCTAGTGACTAAACCACTTATGTCAACATGACTTAGTTGTTTTCTTTGGGGGAAGGGTGGGACAGAAAAGGATAAGACTAAACCAATAAATTATTTTACTATTGGCTTAAAAAAAATTATGTGCTTTTCAAATACACATTCCATGCAGATTTATTTTTTAAGGTCTCAATATCATTATAAATATTTCTTAGTCATCGATTCTTTTCTTACCTATTATTGGTTGAATGTTATTTTCCATCACGATAATGAACTGATGATATATTCGTATAGCCACATCACTAAGAATCTGTCTGTATTCTGAAAGGTCAAAATTGTTCAAGCAATTCTTATTCTGATGTGGACTATTATGCTTCATGAATTCCTGAAAGTAATTTTGAACATATAAATATTAGAATAATGTAGACACATAGAAAATTAAAATACTATCTCTGTATCTAATGATATTACAACAAGTTTCTACTATAACTCCTATACATAATGTCTGATCTGTATCAAATGAATTCTTAATGTTTGGGATAGCATTTATTTTCTATAACTAACTACACTTGACCCTTAAATGATATGTGTTTGAACTACATAGGTCTGCTTACATGTGGACTTCTTTCACTAAGTTATGTATTATATAGTACTACATGATCGACAGTTGATTGAATCTAAGGATTTGTAAATATTACTGTTCTGTTTAACTTTTCAACAAATATGTGCCTCCAGAGTTAGACTACACTGGAAAACAACCCCCATGGAAGCTCATAGGAAAAAGAGCAAAGCATCCAAGGAAATAAACTGCTGTAAGAGGTTGATAGATGCAATAAATGAGATTGATAACTTTACAGAGTATAGACCAATCTGAAATACTTTCATATGGGTGTTATGGACTGAATATTTGTTTCCCCCTCAAATTTATATGTTGATGCCATAACCTCCATTGTGGCTAGATTTGGAGATGGGGTCTCTGTCACCATGTTATTAAGGTTAAACGAGGTCACAAGGGTGGGAGTCCTGATCTGATAGGATTAGTGTTCTTATAAAAGGATACACTAGAGAGATCAATCTCTCTTTCTATCCCATGCACCGAGGAAAGGCCACTGTGAGTACATAGGGAGAAGGTGGCTATCTTCAAGTCCAGAAGTGGACTTTCACCAGTGACCCAATGCTTGCACCCTGATCTCAGATTTCCATTTTCCAGAACTGTGAGAAAATAAATTTCTGTTGTTTAGGCCACCTAGTCTGTGGTATTCTGTTATAGCAGCCCAGCCTGAACATGGTAATACATTTACAATGTTCAAAGAAGTAAAATTAAAAAAAAAACTTAAGGTAAGAATAGGACATTGTAAAAGGCAGAGGTAAAAAAGAACCATTGGAATTTTAGAAATAAAAATATAGTAATTAAAAAATCTTCAGACAAGGAAAAAAACATTGTGTACATGGTTAAAGAGGGTAAAGAAAGGATTTTAAAAATGGTGATGCAATTAAAAAATAAATAAATTTTTAAAAATGGTGATGATATACCTCCCGTTAAAGCCACACAGATGCCAGCTTATCTTAAAAGGACTGGTCTGTGACCCTCTCAGCCCCAGTGCTTCTTTTGGTTAGAAGTTGGATTTTCTTTACTTATTTCTCCCCAGCCAGGGATTGAACCCACACCCTCTCCTTGAAAGATGAAGTCTCAACCAGTGGACCACCAAGGAAGAATCCACCTCACATATTTTGAAAGTCAATGACACTGAGGCTTAGTATCATGCCCGAAGTCTAAACCTCCTTCTGGAAGTCTTTTTGCCTGTGACATCCATTCAGCTGGTGATGTGAAGCTGGTCTCCTGGGTAAGAAGGAAGCCCGAAGACCAGTTGGAGCAGAGGATGTCCTTGGACTGGGCAGTCTGAGATTGGCAGTCAGTACAGAACAGGCAGGCGTCCCTACCTCTTCTCCACTGTACTGCTTCAGGCAATTGAGGAAATGACAGGTATTGGAAAGCCAAAAGGACAGCATCTCAAAGTCTTCTAAATGTTCCTTAAAAAACAAAACAAAACAAGAAAAGACAAGGTTGGATTATTGTTCTGAGCCAATAACAGACATATCTTACCTGTTTTTCTAGCTGGTGGCTTTTGACTCTTCTTTTATTCATTAAAGACTTTATTAAATTTACACTATAAAAAATTTTTTATTTTCTTTGGCTTCAAAATCACTGAGGATGGTGACTGCAGCCATGAAATTAAAAGACAGACACTTGCTCCTTGGAAAAAAAGCAATGACAAATCTAGATAGCATGTTAAGAAGCAGAGACATTACTTTGCCTACAAAGGTCCATATAGTCAAAGCTATGGTTTTTCCACTAGTCATGTATGGATGTGAGAGTTAGACAATAAAATAAGCTGAGTGCCAAAGCCTGTGAACTGCAGTGCTAGAGAAGACTCCTGAGAGTCCCTTGGACTGCAAGGAGATCAAATCAGTCAATCCTAAAGGAAATCAACCCTGAATATTCATTGGAAGGACTGATGCTGAAGCTGAAGCTCTAATACTTGGGCACCTGATGTGAACAGAAATTCGTTGGAAAAGACCTCCTGGTGCTGGGAAAAACTGAAGGCAGGAGGAGGAGACGACAGAGGCTAAGATGGTTGGATGGCACCACCGACTCAATGCACATGAGTTTGAGCAAGCTCTGGGAGATAGTGAAGGACAGGGAAGCCTGGCGTGCTGCAGTTCATGGGGTTGCAAAGAGTCAGACACAACTGAGCAACTGAACAACAACAACATGAAAGTAAACTCATATTTATTTAGCAGGTTATAGTTTGCAAAGTATTTATGTACAGGTTATATCATCTGTTCTGACACTTAAAGCAGGCACTGTAGGAATGCCTGAGAAATGTCTCAGTCCTTGGCCTCCAAATGTCACATTCTGACTGGGAAGATAGACATGACATATATAGGACACAGTTAAATAGGTGGCTGACAGCTTACATGATAGGCATAGGCTATGCTACAAAAACTCAGAGGATGCAGAAATGATGGGGAACCAGGGCAGCTGAGAAAACCACAGGAGAGAGGCAGAAGGATATCCTCCTTGAAGGAAAAGGGTAGACAGACAAGAGCTCAGGATCAAGGACTCTGCTGGCAAGAACACTCCAACTTATGGGACAGGAAGGAGAGGAATGAGCAAAGGAGTCAGAGGTAATGAAGACCAGAGAGATAAGAAGAAAACTGGGAGAGCCCCGGGTTTTAAAAAACAATGTCAGAGAGTTTCAAAGAGGTGCTGCTACTGTTTAATCCATTTAAAGAGAATAAGAGTTAATAAAACACCATTGGATTTAGCAAGAGGAATTACTGGTGGAGTAATGTGGGTAGAAGCCAGATTGCAAGGAGTGAAAAATAATTGGTGGAGACAACTATTTTAGGTGCTTTGGCAGCCAGGAGCGGGTGTGTGAGAAAAAGGCACAGTGGTCAAGGGGGTATGTGGAACAAGTGAGGGCTGCTTTAACGTGCTGTGCCCTGGAGTGGGGAGGAGCATGGAGCTGCTGAAGAAGCTGAGATGGAAGATGCTCACAAGAAAGGATTTATACTCCTTAAGCTATATATCTTTCACTTTCAAAGTATTTAAACACTCCAGAGCAGCAAGAAGGGGCAAATACTGTGTGCCTGCAGCCTGGAACATAATGCAAGTGTGTCTGGAGAAAACCCAATTTATGAAAATTGGAACAGGGAAAACATGAATTTATGGCAGTCTCTTCTAAGAACACATTGATAGCTCCCATAAAGACAGTGACTGTAAAACACCAAATCAATGTTAGTTTTCTACTCCTAACTCCTGATGAATAATGAATTCTTAGTATAAAATTGGGCAGGGTGGACAGTGGAAGAATTACCCATTTCCTGATGTACTCGCTGTTTTTATTTCTTCTCTTTTCCAAGAGAATTTAAGATAGGGTTTGATTGCTCATGACCTTTCTAGAACACATATTTTACTAAAAGTGAGATAGGACTTTCCCAACTAAACATTTTAAATATATCTCATAATCAAACATTACTTCTTATTTGGAAGGGAATAAAGGATAATGGATCTATATTTTACTGGTCCGTTACATATACCTTATCTTCATGTCTGGGCTAAGAATAAAAGTATATACTGTGGTTTTATAAGGGAGAATTATATAAGTGCCAAGGGAAGAGATGAGCAATTTTTCGGCTCTTCCCATTCCTTGGCATTCAAACTTGTTACGTGGATAGACATATACTCCCCACAGTCAAGAATCTCACACCTGAGGGGACAGATGTGATGGGGTGGTGGCCATCAGGTTGTAGTCTTACAGGTAAGGACTTGAGGTGTAACTGGCAGTGTCCCACCCTTAGGGCTGTCTGACCTAAGTTGTCTTTTTCTAATAGCTTGGCATCTTTCACTGACTGGGCCTTTGACTGGTTTGAAGAATCATGTGGTTGACCAAACACTGGAGATAAAGGATGGGAAAAGTCTGGGCATCTGGTCATTTCCACAAATGTTCCTAAAATAGCCATAATACTAAGGTCCAATGTCAAAAAAGTAGTTCCTACCTTAACCACCTGCTTGATGCCACTAATGGTGCTGTTCATGAGGGACTTGAGCATGTCGGCGTCATTTAGAGAGTCTGCGTAGCGTACACACATGAATAGGATGTGAGCTGGCAGCCCGGGGATCATGTTCACCACCACACCACGGGGCTTCAGATCTGGAGCAGAGAGAGTCAGTGAGGCTTACAGCTCTCCTGATAAGAAACCTATGATGATGGGTGGGGATGTCTGCTTTTCTGTACTTGATGCAGTGCCTGAATGCCCATGTTTTTTCCCCTTTGAGGAATTAAGGCTGGCTTTTTTTCTTAGCAAAAATATACATGCAGTTTCCACCTGCTTCTCTTACTTCTCATTTGCAAAGTACTTTCTCTTTTTCAAAGTTGAATAAAAGACAGAATTTCATATCTCCAAGGCAAGAGAGGAGCCCCAGTCCATGCACCCCCACTTCAGCCTCTATGATGAGGACGGAATGATCTCAGCAATCACATGCATCTGCTATGAATAGAGAAAACAGGTGTACAACAGTCCTGCAGAGGAGGATCAGCTGGCCTTGAAGAGAAGAGAATGGCTGGAAGTCAGAGTAGGGATGTAGAGAGAAACTATAGAACAAGCTAAGAAAAGCAAACAAAGACCTCCCCAAGTCTGCATTAGGACAGGGGAACAAAGAGGCCCCTCAGCTGTGTACCAGTGAGGGGTAGAAAAGAACGGGTAGGCGGCTCATATGCTCTGAGCAGGGTCACTTAGGAGAAGAGGAGTAAGGCTCCTGCTTTCTGCTTTGAGATCTTGGGACCAGCTGATAGGGAGGCAGTTTTTCTCCTTCTTTCTAGAGAAAACTATGTGGTTTCCATGGTGAAGACAGGCTAGCAGGACTGGTTCTAAGACTGCCAACCATACAGCATGCCCATTGGGAGATTCCTGTAATAGCTGTGGCTGAGAAGGCCCTGTCATATTACCAGCAGACGAATTTCTCAGCAGAAGGCAAATGGAACAAGGGAGCCACAAGTTACTTCTCCCATGGCTCCTGTGCTGAGACACAAAGATGAGGAGATGTCTTCTACCCTGACCATGTGATGGGACTTGGGAAGAGGTTAGGGTAGTGCATCTCAACTGAAGGCAAGGTATCAGATGCCAGAGGGCATGTGGCAATGCCTGGAGGCATTTTTTTAAATTGTCATGATTAGGGGTTGCCACTGGCTTCTAGAGAATAGAAGCCAATGATACTGCTCAATATCCTACAATACAAAGCCCCTAGCCACCCGAAACAAAGAATCACATGGTCAAAAATGGTGAGGCTGAGAAGCTCTGTGCCAGGGGAAGAAGCAGTGGAGGAAAAAGAGGAACTATCATCCCTGCCCAAGACTGTGGCAATGACTAATGCTCAAGTTCTCAAAAATTAAGCAAAAATTCAGAGTTCCAGGTTTCACTACCAAGAATGAGGTTTTGAATGAGCTTGGCCTCATCTTCTCTCTTGTATTCCAGCATTCCAAGGTACTCCTTGGGTCCTGAGGACAGGTGCACATCATTGGCTGTAGGCAGAGGCAAATAATCAGCTAAATACACAATAACAACTTCCACCAGCATTATAATGAGACTACCCCATCTCTTTCCATCCCATTCTGGCTGATTTGCCCATGAAATTCGCCGGCTTTCCAATAAATGCAAACTTTATTGAATCCTGAAGAATTTCTTCTGGTAGCAATTCTTATCTGTGAGTATATCTATGAGTATAGCTGCCAGTGTATATTCTCATGGTCACCTGCCAGTGTATATTCTCATGGTCACCTGGTATATTCTAATGGGTGCAGTAGGGATATGAAAGCAATCCAGGTTGTTGCTCCTGCCTTATTACAGTTTTAAAAAAATGAGATTCACAAAACATGTAGTGTGCAATCATCAAACAGCATGACCCCAAGGTGGCTGGACTAGTTTCCTATGTGCTGTAACAAGGTACCAAAAACTCAGTGGCATAAACAAAATTTTTTAAAATTACAATTTAAAAAATCTTACAGTTCTGGAGTTCATAGATTAACACAGATCTTACAAAAATCGAAGTGTCAGCACAGCTGTGTTTCTTCTGGAGGCTCTAGCAGAGAACTCATTTCTTGCCTTTTCCAGTTTCTAGAGGCTGACCACATTCTTTGGCTCCGGCCACATCACTCTGACCTCTGCTTCTATCATCACTTCTTTCTCTGTCTCTGCTTCCATTGTCACATCACTTTCCCTCACTCTGTCATTCCTGTCTCTTTCTTACAAAGTCTCTTGTGATTATATTGGATCTACTTGGATGATCCAGGATACTCTCCTCATCTCAAGATCCTTCACATAGGGACTCCCCTTGGTGGTCCAGTGGTTAAGAATCCACCTTCAATGCAGGGGACACGGGTTCAATCCCTGGTCAGGGTACTAAGATTCACATATCATGGAGCAACTAAGCCTGAGTACCACAGTTACTAAGCCTGTGCTCTGGAGCCTGTGTCCACAACTAGAGAGTCAGTGCACCACAACAAAAGATGATGCAATGAAGATGCTGCTTGCCACAGCTAAGACCTGAGGTAGCCAAACAAATAATTTTAAAAAAAGGTCCTTCACATACTCACATATACAAAACCCCTCTGCCATGTAGAGTCACATACTCATCGGTTCTGGGGATTGGGACGTGGACATCTTTGGGTGAACCACAGTCTGCCCTCTGGTACCCAAAGACTCATGTCCACTCTGAGAGGAGATGTGACTACAGAAGCACAGGTTAGAATGTCAGAATGATCTAAAGACTTTATGCTGCCAAATTTGAAGATGGTGAAGGCCCACAAGTCAGGAAAAGTAGGTGGCCTCTAGAAGCTGGAAGAGGCAAGGGAATAGAATCTCCCCCTAAAGCCTCCAGAAGCCCTGTTGACATGCTGATTTTAAGCCAGGGAACACCATTTTGAACTTCAGACATTCAGGACTGTAAGTTTTGTGTTCTATTAAGCCACTAATTTCATGGTGATTTGCTAGGCAGCCATAGGAAATAAATACAGAAGACATAAGAATTTATGCAGAGGTAGGTTAGAACTGTTGAAAAATGGTTCTTGAAGGAGGTAGCATTCCAGCTGGGCCAAGAAAAGTGAGTAGGCTCTGATGGGTGAGAAAGAAGATAATACAGGTAAAGAATTAACAGAACTCTCTTCTACTCCATGAGAGTTTGTTCTGTGATTTACTAGCCCTGTTCCCTTGAAGGCTGATAAAGGTAGAATGTTAACTATTTTACTAAGCAACCTGTTTATGATAAGAAGGACCTCTGATTGCTGAACTGCATCTAGACCGGGAAAACCAATAAATGATGCAGAAGTACCTGATGAGGACATCATATTTTGGGTATTCTTAAGTGTGGTGACTTGTATCTGAGCATGTTCCTTGGGAGCTAGTACTACCTAAAGAGTGTCCTATAGGTACTGGCTTTTCCTGACAACAGTCATGTGAGTGAGCTTGGAAGCAGGTACTCCAGCTCCAGCTAAGCCTTCAGGTGTCAGCATCCTTGCTGACTACTTTACTGTGACTCACAGCTAGAACCACCCAGCTGAGCTGCTTATAGATTCTTGACCTTCAGAAATTGCACTGTTAAGTGTTTGTTGTTTTAAGCTACTAAATTTGGAAGTAGTTTGTTATATGATCAATAGATACTTGATACAGGAATGGAAGCTGATGCATTCCACTTAAAACAAGTTGGGCTGGAGGTGATAATAGAAAGGTGAAGGAGTAATCTTAGAGGCAAAAAGGGAGTAGGACTCAGGAAAAGTGAGGAACGGCAGGTGGATTTTGGAAGTCCTTATGTAGAGACGGCAGTTGATTCATTCTTTCCAACAATGGGGATACCATAGGGTAATGGGAAGGACAGACAAGGTCTCTTTCCTCATGGGGCAGAATGACCTTTATCAATAATTATTGAAAGGAAAAGAGCCTCATTTTGGTTTTGGAAACTTAAAAGTCTGATGTGAGAGTTGAAACAAAAAAAACAACAATAAAGGAGTTCTTCAAAGAAATGAGTATAGTAAAAGGAACTGAGAGTTGCAGATACAGCCTCAGTGACAGAGATTGGGAGAAAGAAGCAATATTGAACAAAAGAGTAAAGAGTTAGATGAGAAAAGTCAGGAAATTTCAGTGACTATTTGCAGGGCAGGAATAGACACACAGACGTAGAGAACAGACTAGTGGACACAGCAGGGGAAGGGGAGAGGATGGGATGAATTGAGAGAGTAGCATTGAAACATATATATTACCATATGTAAAATAGCTAGCTAGTGGGAAGCTGCTGCACAACACAGGAAACTCAACCTACTGACACTCTGACAACCCAGAGGGGTGGGATGGGGGGTGGGGGTACGTTGAAGAGGGATGGGGACATATGTATACTTATGGTTGATTCATGTTGTTATATGGCAGAAACCAGCATGGCATTGTAAAGCAATTATCTTCCAATTAAAAATCAATTTAAAAAAGAAAAATTCAGTGACATAGAAGGAGGCGAAGGAGAGAAAGGCGGAGAATCTTTTCCCCGGAACTTAAAAGGACACTCGGTGTGCAGTTCAATTCATGTTGAGGACTTCAGTCTGGCTTCTGAGCTATCTAAGAGATATCTAACTAGCTATCTAGTATCTTTTCTTCTAATAGAAATTAGGATATTGACCCCACATAACAGAGAGGAAATAAACTTTAAAGCAGTGAAATCTGAAACTTTTTCACAGTTCAAGAAGAGAGTCAACAGAGAAAGAGGTTAAAAGTATACCTTCCAGGGTACCCCTTACAATTACATGAGCACATCTGGTATCACCTGAGAGGTGGTGAGCCACCTGCCTGCCTCTAAGGATCTCCACTAGCCCACCATTGAGCCCCAAACACACCAGCGGAGACTCATTTCTTCAGTTTTCAAATTCTTTGGACCACATCAGGAAATAACATGTCAACACATGTAAACTTTAGCTGAAAGTTCAAAAAAATTGGAAAGTGGATGTTGTTTTTCTACCTTTTTCAATTGTCTTGGTTAGAGTCTTCACTTGATCTTGTAACTTTTTAATCACTCTTTCCTTCATGTCTAACTCTTCTTCAAGATCCTACAAAAATCAAAAGAAAGAGGATGTTAGCTCAGAAGCATGTTAATTCTATTATTTGGTAAGAACTTTGCTGAGCTATAATTCATACACCACACAATTCACCCGTTTAAAGTGTACACTCATGATTTTCAGTATAGTCAGTTGTGCAACCATCACCACCATCTAATTCCAGAATATTTTCATCACATTAAAAAGAAACATATAACTTTTAGCTGGCACCCATTTGCCCTCCTATTCCTTTCCAGCCCTGGGCAACCACTAATCTACCTACTGTCTCTACATATTTGCCTATTCTAGATATTTAATATAAATTAAATCATAGAATATGTGGCCTTTCGTGTCTGGCTTCTTTCATTTGGAATAATGCTTTCCAGGTTTATCTGTGCTGCAGTAGGTATCAGTACTTCATTGTTTTTTTGGCTGTGGGATCTTAGTTTTCAATCAGTGAAAGCACTGAGCCCTGACCATTGGACCACCAGGGAATTCCCAGTACTTCACTCCTTTTTTTTGTGGCTGAATACTATCCTACTGTACGGATATACCACATTTATCTTGATCTAATTTTTCCTTGATAAAGCCATGCCCATCGTAGAGAGTTTAAAAATACGCAGGTATGAAAATGCACTCTCTTGATGTCAGAAGCTGGAGGCAGAGAAGCTTCAGAAATTTGGGTCCCGCCTTTGCCTCTCCTTCCTGATAAAGAGGGTGGCCCTGCCCACGCTGAATTTGGCTCAAGAACCAGAAGAGTCTTGGACACGTATAAATATGTCCCATAAAGGGCAGAGAGTATTCAGGTTCTTCCTGAACCTCAAGGGCTTTGACACAGAAAGGATTCAGGCTTCTCTGATGCATCAGTGCCCACCTGGCAGTCTGTCCCTGCAGTCACGGGTGCTCTGGGGACTCTCAGAGCCCAGGGAAGCTGTGCTGTTTCCTCTTCTGGCTGCCTCTCCCTACTATAGTCCCGTCCCTGGCTAAACACGTTCGGAGCTTTATCGGGCCTCACAAGTGGGGGTGTGGTGCAGTTTCTTCCCTCCTATTTGAGCCTATTTTACTATACATCTAATAATTTAAAAGTCACCCATCAATCCAGAACCTGAGGAAATCACTGTTTACGTTTTATTTCATTTTTTTCCCTCCTAATATGGCATATATCCATTTTATAAAATTGGGTCATACTGCTTGTAAAGTTTTAAATTCTGTTTCTCGTTATATTGCAGATATTTCCCCCATCATTGATAATATACCAAACTGTCATCTGATATACAATAATATAACCTACCCACTACAGCTGGGCATCCTTTCTTTTTTGCTGTGACTAATAATACTATGCTGACCATTCTAGATGAAAATCTTTGTTCACATATTTGATTATCTACTTAGGACAGTCTCAGAAGTTGCATCACCGAGTCAAAGGGAATGCACTTTCAGAGGTTCCTGACATTTTCCTCCAAACTGCCCCCAAGAATGTTGACACCAATTTCTATCCCCTGAAATCATGTGTGACTGGGCCCACTTCCAGGTGTTCTCACCAGCACCATAAGATCTCCATTACTTGAGAATCAAAAAAATACCTAGTTTTAATTTGATATTTCTTTGATAAATAGAAGCTCACTTAAACTTTTCTATCCAATTTTAAATAAATTATTTTCTTTGACTCAGAAGATCATGTAGTTGGCTGAGCAGTGTCTCCTTGAAATTCATATCCATTTAGATGGACATGTACACACTGCTATATTTAAAATGGATAACCAACAGGACCTACTGTATAGCCCAGAGAACTCTGCTCAATGTTGTGTGGCAGCTTACATGGAAGGGGATTTGGGGGAGAATGAATACATGTACATATATGACTGAGCCCTTTCAGGGTTCACCTGAAACCATCACAAAATTGTTAACTGGCTATACTTCAATATAAAATAAAAAATTCAAAAAACTTCATATCCACTTAGAATCCCAGAATGTGACCTTACTAGAAATAGGGTCTCTGCAGTTGAAACCAAGGATCAATGTGAGGTTACACTGGATCAGGATGGGTCCTAAATTCAATACAACTATCCTTACAGTGTGACTTGAAAAATCTATTCTCTGAGAAAGGCATACCCCTCTCAAAAAAGATGGTCATCACCCAAGTGATGACCTGGATCATCTGACTAGAATGTATTGTTTCCTATTAAATGTTAAACTCTCTGCATTCCTCTTTTTATATATAACTACCCTTTTAAGTTAAGTCCTGACACTGCAAAATGTGATTTTACCCTATCATGTTTCTCTTGTGAGATAGGAAATGGGGGGGGTGGTGCTGATGAGGAGGAGCAGAGCCAGTGGACATGTGCAGGCCCTTACCTTGTCACGGTCTTGGAGGCTGCCAGGCCAGGAAGGCACCTGAGAGCATCCACCTCCCAGGAAACCACTCCATCTGCTACTTTGGTGCTTTTCATCCTCGTGGGTTTCACACACCAATACAATTTCAGAAGAATTTCTGGGAGCTAACAGAGCTGCCAAATGCCATGTTGACAGGGGCATTTATAATTGGATGAATACTTTCACAGTTTAAAAAGTTAGCCACCTATTTGTGATCATTTCATAGAAGAATATTTTGCCTCTGAAAACTATGGGAAGAGCATTCCCCCAGAAGCAAGCAGGGGCCTTGGATGGGGTAAGCTTTGTTCAGAGAAGGTCACATATCAGCCTGGCATCCTCAACACGCTCCGGACAAGGGTGTTGTCATCTCAGACAAGCGTTGCCCATGGGACAATGCTCAGGACCCTCCAGCGGTCCTCCCTCAGCCTTCGTAAATCCCCAGCTCCCCTGCAGTGGCCATAACCTCAGAGACGACCTGTCTTTTGAGAAAAGGAAACAGACTGCTCTGGTGGGAGGTGGATGCTGCTCAGCAGACGCTTGGGGTGGCCTGTCCCCCCTTTCAGTGATACCTGCACACAGGCAGTCATTTATCAACAGGTCAGAAAACTTCTCACCCTCTTCTCCATAGTGAGACGAGATGCTTCCTGCCGGAAACTACTCTTGACTTCATTTTCAGTTTCAAATTGTTTCCTCAAGTGCTCGCTGGCCTCCTGCATTTCTTGAATCTTATCCATCAGCTTCTCTTTCTCTTTGGTATGTATTTCATTTTGGGCTTCTATGGTCCTGAGGAAAGAATTAGGAAGTTTTGGTATCAGTTTGACCATCATGAAAAATCAGTGGAAACATAGTTTGGCCAACTTATGTGTAAAACAAATTGTACCTGAATAGGGGAGTGCTCACAGTGAGGGGAAGAGACCAGGGTTAATGGGGTACAAAAGTCCACAGCTGCTTCAGTCTCTTAACCTGATAAAAAGTTCTCATCCTCACCCGCCCACACCCCTTGATGGCTGCCATAAGACATCCATACCCACTCATACCCTTATGACCAAAGGCCCAGTGATTATCTCCTTTGTGAAAAGCCTGGGACCAGATACTAAAAAATCCAGGGATCAGAGAGGGAAGAAAAGGGAACCCATCCAGAGTCCTAAAATGGTGCCTACCACTTTTCTACACCTGGCCCCAACCCTCCCAATGAAGTCATGTGGTAAGAAATGTTCTCTGGGATGTAGAATGTCTATTTATTTTTCTTGAAATTAAGTATCTCGAGGATTTTTGAACTGGAATGGAACCTGAACGACAAATTTGACATCTATTCCTCTGATGATAAATAATGAGAGTTTTAATCTGATTAGGATAACAAAATGATTGTGAATAAAATTCACAGTGAAGAATTCAGGGTAACTGACTTTTCTAAAGATTATAAAATTTTCCAAAATATTTCTACCATACAAAAGCACAATATAATCTAAGCTATAAAAATATTATTTGATATGAGCAATGTTTTGGGGTATGGAAAAACACTAGGATACAAAATGGTGCCCAAAAGCTCTAAAATTGCAATTCTAACTTGAGTTACATATAAATAATTAAATTGAGATTTTATTATGAAAGAATTTAAATGAATTAAAACACCACTATCTGATTATTCTTTTACCTATTTCTCCAGAGAAATGGTTCAAATTTCTACTAAAATAATTTTGAACATCATCAAAAAAATTTTACACAAAGTATCTCAACAAGCTGGCTACAAAACATTTTTCTCACAAGTTTCCACCAGACGCTCTGTTGGTCAGGATGTAATTTGAGGTGGTTATCAAATGAAGATTCTCTATCAAAATGGATTTTAAGCCTCACCCTAAGTGGCCTGCTGAGAGAAACACTGTTCTCTCTCATATGATATTATTTTTTCAGTTTTTTGAAGATATAATTTATGCATATGGCATAATGTTCTAAGGGCATAAAAGGGTACACAGAGAAAAGCAAGTCTCCTCCATCTTCCGGGCACCAGCCACCCGGTTACCCTTCCTGCAGGCAACCAATGTTTTATTTGTTTCATTGCTTCTACCTCATCCCAGAGGAAGGTGTGTGTGTGTACACAAGTATTTCTTTTTACACTTGAAGGCTAACAAATCATATACCTTAAGAATATCTCGCTTTTGTGTCTTAATAACCTTCCTTGGTATCTCCCACAATTTCAGAAAAGCCAAGCATTACATGTGTGGGCTTGAGGTACATGCAGGTTGATACTTACTTTCTCTGTGCTCCTTCTTCTTCTTGATTGTGATTCAACTGATTTGACAATTCTTCTAGTTTTCCTATGATGAGAAGAGCTATCAGTCCTTTGGGGGGCTATACCACTGCATTCTGATTTGGGTTTGATCATATTTTCATATTTTCAGTTATTAAGGGTTCTAAAATGTACCCAGCTAGAGATTAGGTTTTATTTGGTCTGAACAATATTTAAAAACTTCTTATGCCATTATTTAAAAATCTGGATTTCCATTTTTTCTTTAAAAATAGGAATATCAAGCAACACTGGAGCGCGAGATCTTAGTTGGTAAAAGTCAACAGGGCTTGGAGGCAGCTGCTGCCTTCAAATGCCTATGAATCTTACTGTACCGTTCACACATCCCACTTTCACATTTATGTCACCTGTCTAAGTCCATGGAGAATCAGTTTGACAATGACCTTTTGGTCATTCCTGGATACAGGAAACTATTTTCTTTTTTTAAAAAACTTTCTATTTTATATTGGAGTAAAACCACATTTTACTCCGTTTTACTCCAATTAACAACGTTGTGATAGTTTCAGGTGGACAGCAAAGGGACTCAGTCATACATATACATGTATCCATTCTCCCCCAAACTCCTCTCCCATCCAGGATGCCACGTAACATTGAGCAGAGTTCCATGTGCCATACAGTAGGGCCCTGTTGTTTACCCATTTTAAATACAGCAGTGTGTACATGTCCATCTCCAACTCCCTAACCACCTCTTCCCCCAACAGGAAACCGTTTTCTAAAAGCAGGTTCATGAGGGTTCCAGTTACCTTTCATGGTTTCAGTTTGTTCATTCAGGCGGATTTCAAGATCTTGCTTCTGTTTTTCCAGTTCTGAAATTTGTTGTTTAAAGTCTGGGATCATCTTCACAGAAGAATTGGAAATATTAGAATATGAAACGCTTTGATGTATGAACTTTAAAATCCCAGAGCTGCTAAGAAGCAAACTAAACTGTCTAGATCTTTAACCCCATGGAACATACGTCTAGTATAGTTATGTAAGACAGCTAGCCAAGGTATTACACTGGATGAAATCATGTTTTTTACCTCAAGACCTATACTGTCACAAGAAATACCAGCATGCTCAGAGTGTGTGGTTCTCACCCAGCTCCACCCTCCACATCCCCGAGGGCTCCTGGAGGGGTACCATCTGGGAGGACTTATGGGAATTCTCTGCTGAGCTGAGGGAAGGATGCTGGGAGGAATGATAACCAGTCTCTTTGGCTCAGAGACATCACCTCCTCATCTAGAAATAGGAGAATCATCTCAAAGGGGGTCCTACTGTGCCCTGTGAATTCCAGGCTATGCACTGCTTTTTTATCAGAGGTCTGGAATGATCCAATATGTTTCATAATCCTCTGTCCTTGTCTAGCTGTATACTTGTTTAAATGCCCACCATTTCCACTTGTAGTCAGGTGAAAGTGAAAGTCCCTCAGTTGTGTCCAACTCTTTGCGACCCCATGCACTATACAGTCCATGGAATTCTCCAGGCTAGAATACTGGAGTGGGTAGCCTTTCCCTTCTCCAGGGGATCTTCCCAACGCAGAGATTGAACACAGGTCTCCCATATTGCAGGCATATTCTTTACCAGCTGAGCATAGTCAGGTAAGGAGAGTTTTTTAATTGTACATGTTTATGAAAACACCTGTGCCTCTGAAGTCAAGATGAAAAATACTTGTTTGATTGTGCAATCGGATCTCACTGCAAATTCCTCATTAAAGTTTCAGCCAAGGAGTAGATAAAAATGTGCAGGTCCTTAACTAACACATCTGCTGTGCCCAGAGTCATTTCTCCTCACCTGCCGACGCATCCCTGAGATTTCCTAATATTCCCAGGCTAGGCAGATGAGGAAAAGCCAGTAAAGAAGTTGAAGAAGCACCAACCAGTGAGGTGGGATGAGAAACCCAGGAGAGCACGGTGTCCTGGAAGCCAAGAGAACAAGAAAGAGGGAGAGGGAGTGATTGAAAACATCACCAAATGCTGCAGAGAGACCAAGACGAGGGGGAAAAGGAACCCTTTGTGTTCAGTTCTGTGCAGGCAGATTCAGGTAGAGGGAGGGACACACCGCGGCACGGGGTGGGCACAAACAGGAGATGAGTGGAGATGTCACAGCCGGATGGCATGGAGAAGTATAGCCAAGTCCCCCAGAGAAAAGGGGCGGTGGCTGCAGGGGGTATGGGGTTAAGAAAGGCATGTTTTTGATAATTAGATTCCTAAGGCATTTCTTCATACCAGTAGATAAAAGTGAGGAGGAAGAATTAGACAAATGCAGTGGAGAAGAGCAGGCATCATGGAAGAAGGAGGTTGTTGAAATAGTGAGATGAAGAGCTAGAATAGGGCAACTGACCTTCTGCATGCAAGCCCATCTCAAGAGGTACCTTTTTATCTTTATGCTTTTTGTGACTTTCCGGGGGGTGAGGGCTAGATTTAACATATATAAATTTAAAAGCACACACAAATCACAGAACTTGGACTCATCCTATGGTAAACACTTTCAAAATGCTTTCCAGGCTGGTGTAATTTTATAGTTTTATCTTCTGAACCAGTTATTTCACTCCTGGAAAATGTAATTTGCTTTCCAGCTGAGACACTGAACTTTACTTCACTGAAGCATGACATCTATAGAATAAAGGCTGAGATCATACCATGTTTTCTGACGTTAGCCTGGTAACTTCATGACGGATACTTTCATTGATGTCATTCTCTTCTCTAAATAATTTCTGCAGGTGGTTGATTTCCTGACTTAGATGCACCACTTTGAAGTTCAGAGCTTCAATCTCCTTTTCATAGCAATCCTTCTGGGACTGGAAATGGTTCTCCAAAACACTATCAGAGGAATGGTCAAGAAGTTAACCACATGGTCTTTATCCTGATGGTGACTCTCAGCAGTTATGAAAACCAACAATCAGAGCCAAGTGCTAAGCACATAAAGTTTACCTGTGTACAAAAGGTTACAGGCTATGGAATTAGTAATGTATAATTACAAACTCCAGCTATGTGATGTTATGTGGTGTTAACATGTAGTAGGTGATAAAAAATTTTTAGACATTATTAAAATTATGTTTCTACTCTAATAAAAATATGCTCTGTTTGATGCAACAATGATAAAGAGATGTCACTATACATTTTTCAAAACCCATAGTATGTACAACATCAAGAGTAAACCTTAGTGTAAACTACTGCCTGAGCTACCAGGGAAGTCTAAGAGTAAACATTAGTGTAAACTATTGACTCTGGGTGATAATGGTGTGTCAGTACAGGTTCATTGGTTCTAACAGATGTAACCTCTGGTGACACATGTTGATGATGGCTGTGTGTGTGTGTAGGGGTAGGAGGTATACGAGGAATCTCTGTGCTTTCTGTGAACCTAAAATTGTTCTAAAAATAGTTAATTAATATTTAAGAAAGCAAACATCTTAAATTTCAACACATCTATATATCTAGGAAAGTGAAAGTGAGAGTTGGGCCATAAAGAAGGCTGGTGGTGAAGTCACTAAGTTGTGTTGTACCCTACTGACCCCGTGGACTATAGCCTGCCAGGCTTCTCTGACCACGGGATTCTCCAGGCAAGAATACTAGAGTGGGTGGCCCTTTCCTTCTCCAGGGGATCTTTCCACCCAGGAATTGAACCTGGGTCTCCTGTACTGCAGAAGGCTGAGCGCTGAAGAATTGATGCTTTTGAACTGTGGTGCTGAGAAGACTCTTGAGAGTCCCTTGGACTGCCAACCAGTCAATCCTAAAGGAAATCAACCCTGGATATTCACTGGAAGGATGAATGCTGAGCTGAGGCTCCAATACTTTGGCCACCTTATGTGAAAAGCCGACTCATTGGAAAAGACCCTGATGCTGGGAAAGACTGAGGGCAGGAGGAGAAGAGGGTGACATAGGTTGAAATGGTGGGATGGCATCACCAACTCAATGGACATGAGTTTGAGCAAACTCTGGGAGACAGTGAAGGATAGGAAAGCCTGGCAAGCTGTAGTCCACAGGGTCACAAAGAGTCAGACATGACTTGTGACTAAACAATAACAACAATATATCTATAGCAACACCAGCTAACTTGTTTGCTATAATCAGTTTTCATTGTATAGGTTATGTGTTTTACTACTTGGCCAGTTATCCCACAAAGAGGTTGTTCTTCATTATTAAACTAATTGCTCAAGCCTCGAAGAAATCATCCCAGGGATTATTAGACCATTCTGTAAGGAATTTATTTTGTCTATCAAATCTATGAAAGGTAAATTTTTGACTTTGCAATAGTATTTTGTCTCTGAAAAATCATGAAAAATCCTAAGGGAAATTTCTCACCGTGTTGCTTTCTTTAGTCCTTCGTAAGCAAACCAAAGTTCTCCATCCTCATTTAAATGTTCCAAATCTTCCAGAGACAGCCTGAAACATGAGGAGGGTGAAAGAATCATTTCTCTCATGTGTTACATGTTTCTAAATACTTTTTAGTGCAAAAATGATTACCTGTTTCTTACATCTTCAATGTCATAGCTTTCAAGAAGTTGTCTGGTAATCTCTGACATCTTTTCTGAGGGGAAAAGGCAGAACTGGAATAAATTATATTTTTGCATAATTTCTATTTTCCCATTTCCTTTTTTAGGGCCCAGTTCTCTAGCCCTACAGACTCTCTAGCTAACCATCTCATCAGCTAACTTACCAGCTATCCAACCAACCAACCATGGAGCCAACCAACTATTCAACCTTCCATATACCCAACCAACCAGCCTCAGACCAAAGGACACACTGCCTGAGTTGGTAACACCTTTGATACATTTGGCCTGCCCGCCATAAACTCAGTGACTCATATTTTCATTACCTCTCATTTCCCTTTTCTGGGACTGCACATGTTTTTCCACATCTATCTTCTGTGTCTGAAGTAACTCTATCTCCTTTTCAAACTCAGAGATCGTCTGAATCCCAGCAATGACAGAACCATGTGAAGAAAAAACAGCTGTCACAATTTACAGCAGACAAAGGGAACACTATTGCTGTATATTTATCTATGCAAGTTGTCCTCACTGTAGTTTCTCAGTTAAAATCTTGTTAAACCATCACTGCTCATAAAGTTTTGCCATAGAGTATTGTCTAACTATCTAAGATACTGTTATTCTCACAGACACTTGGTTGTATCAATAGAGTTAGCCCCCCTAAAGGGAAAAAGTAAGTCCTTACTACTTGGGGTGGGGAAGGGGAGGTGAGGGAGCTCAGAGAAGTCCAGGCACAAGGGCCAAGTTCTCTCTCACTGTATGATGAAATCTTGGACGCAAAGAAGTGGGCAAAGTCATCACCTATTTAGGGCTGGGGCTCCAGTGAGGCTTAGACGGGACCCAGTGGCAGGGCCAGGGTGCGCCCTGGGGCTGGGGGAGTTGGCAGTGAGGGCATGACCCGAGTCCAGGATGGGGAAGAGGCTGCTTGTGGGGAGGAGGCTGCATTCTGCCTGTATTCACCTGTGAGCTCAGGTTTGTACTTGGGTAGATGTGGGAGCTGTACAGAGATGAATAACCCCTCCTGGATATTTTTTTTTCTGTGTTTGTGACAGTTGTCGTATCAGTGTGTATTTAAAAAAAAAAACTTTATCATTACTGGTGAATTTTTGTGTGGCCATTTAAAATATTTTTTTATTTTACACTGTCTAGTCATTAAGCTCAGTCATGTCCAACTGGCTCTCACAACATCTTTAAAAAGTGATTGCTATTTCTTTGTATCATTAAACACAAAAGCTTTTAAATTACTTTTCCTTAAAATGTACTTATAAACAGAGCTGAATATTCAGCCTGCCTTAAAAATGGAGAGGGATGTGTTTTAAAATTCAAGCATTTAACAGAAAACATACTGAAAGTATTTTTAGTTTAATATGACTCAATTTTCAGGTACAATTTTCAGAGATGAGCTGGAACTGATGTAAGGCCAGACATTTATATATATGATCTCCCTAAATTGATGGCAATTCTTAAGAAGGCTTATCAGTTAAGATTAGGTTTGGCTAATATAAAAATGAGATGTGCCCTTTTTTTGTTGTTGATTAAAACACAGAGATAGAAAATCCAAGACTGAGAGAATGGTTCCAGGTAATTTCCAGCTCAATTACTCCACCATCCCTTTCAGCAGCTCCTGTTCTTGTGGTTCAAAATATCTGCTAGAACCCCAGTCTCCAACCCACATTCCAGGTGGCAGATAGAGAAATGGAAGTGGAAGAGAAAAGGGTATACACCTTATCTTTGAAAGTAAGCACCTCACAGAAGCATCACTTAACAATGGAACCCTTCCATTTATGTTACCAATTTATGGAGTTACAACTAGTGACAAAGGAGGGTGGGGATTGAAACAGGAAAGCCATGTGTCTAGATCGCTATTACTATTTTTAATTAAAAAACAAGGAGAAAATATATGTATAGACTATAACCTGCAGCTTCTGTTACTGAAGTGTGGTGTAACAGTGTTTGGGACAGATAAAATTTTGCCTGTGAAATTAAAAAAAAAAATCAAAACTGGTGAATTTTTGTGTGGCCATTAAAATTTTTTTTTTAGTTTGCATCATCTAGTCATTAAGCTCAGTCATGTCCAACTCTTTGTGATCCTATGGACTGTAGCCCACCATGTTCCTCTGTCCATGAAATTCTCCAGGCAAGAATACTGGAGTGGGTTATCATGCCCTTCGCCAGGTGATCTTCCTGATCCAGGGACTGAACCTGGGTCTCCCACGTTGCAGACAGATTCTGTACCATCTGACCCACCAGGCAAGCCCATTTTGTACTGGGGTATAGCCAATTAACAATGTTGTGATAGTTCCAGGTGAACAGCAGGGGACTTGGCCATACGCACACTTGTATCCATGCTCCCTCAAGCTCCCCTCACATCTCTGAATATTTTCTCAGTTAGCCTAAGTGTTTAAAGGTTATATAACTCTTGTTTCCACAGTGGGTAAAAAAGGAGATCAAGTTGGCATGTTCTGATCATCTTACATATATGACCTCACCCTTGTAACATGCCTATGAAGTGAGCAGAATGACTAGAAAACTGAAGATGCAAAAGGGTTACATGGATTGTTCAGGGTCACATGGCAAGCTGCCAGGACCTAGGACTATCCATCCTCAAGCTCCACTCTCTGTGTTGTTTCAGTAAATGTTCCAAGTCATATCTGTATTTACCTATTGTTGTTTAGTTGCTCGGTCGTGTCCAACTCTTTGCAACCCATGGACTGTAGCCCACCAGGCTCCTCTGTCCATGGGACTTTCCAGGCAAGAATACTAGAGTGGGTTGTTTCTCAAAGGGGTCTTTCAGACCCAGTGATTGAACCTGCATCTCTTGCATTGGCAGGCAGGTTCTTTACCACTGAGCTACCAGAGAAGCCCTTACTTAGGTATAGGTATTTACCTATAGGCTTATAACATGTATAAATGATGATAATGGGTTTATTTTCTTTGAAAATCAGACTAATCTCCTTAGTATACCACAATGAAGAGTTTAGATCATAGTTTTAGCTGCCAGAGAGGAAGTGAGTGGCAAATATTGGTGCCTTACCCCAAGGGCAGCCACATGATCTCATGAGATACAATGTAGCCAGATGATGTGACTCCCAGACTGACATCAGTCTTACGAGGCTGCTAAGGATGAAGGGCTCACAGGTATATGTGGTCCTTCTGGATTCCACAGTCCAATCTACAACTTAAACAATAGGAAATCAGAGCCCAGAGAATATGGGCAGTTCTGCTAAGAAATTCAGGTATGAGTCCATGACATATCTTCTAAAATATGCATGGCTATTCCATGATGATTACAGAGGATATTTGTGTAATTATAACAATTATTCTACTAACATGTGTTTCACGTATTTAGTGGAAGCTTAAAAGTTTTCCAATCTCACTAAAATGGTTTGCATTGAAGAGTGGAGGGAGAAACAAGTTTGGATGCTTTTAGCTGACACTGAGGGGATGTGAAGCCGCTCTCTCTTGTGCAGGTCAGACAAATCAGCCAGGAAGCGAGGAGTCCTACCTTTGCCTGCTTGCTCAGCCGGGCCACTTCCCCTTTCAGGCCATCAGAGGTGACCCGCTCTTCCTCCAGCTCACGCTGCAGTTGCATCTTCTCATCCTTGAGAGCTTTAATTTCTTCTCTCAAAGACCGGATCTGCTTCTCATAGTCCTGTGTTTTCAGTTCGAAACTTTTTTCAAGAAGTCTAAGCATCAAAAGAAAAATTTGAACCATTTCTAAGGTCTTTACCCTTAATTAGAACTACACATCATTTTGGAAATAAGAGGAGACTCAGAAAGGAAGAGCCAAGTGAAGACCTACTGTGAGGACGGTGGCCTTATTTTTGGAAGACTGTTTTTACATCCCCTTAGGTCAAGGCAGCTTCTTACACCTTCAGAATCAGAGAAGTGTGGCTCTACAGTGATCACACACAGGGAACAGAGGAGAGGGAGGCTGAACTTAAAGACTCAATGGTTGGTGGGGTACTGTAGCCCCGAAGCCACCCTGGTTCCACGTGGTCCCCTAAAGGGACCACTTCACTCAGCAAAGACCTTGGCATATTCTGTCTCCTGCCTAGAATCAAGGATCCTGGAACAGCTTGGCTTAGTAATAAACAAGTTAATATGGCCATTTAATAAGGAAAAGGGTCCAGCTTGTCAAACATTTTAGAATAAACTGCAGCAAGTCCAGGTACCCAAAAGGCCACAGAAAGCCATTCCTTGTAAGAAGACTGAGCAATTAAATACAGGGTAAGTGACCAAGAAAATAACCCCAGACAGATACAGAACCTAGACCAGCCCCACACAGCCCACAGGGGCCCAGTCAGAATTGAAGCTGTCCAAAGAGCTCTGTGAGTTTATTAAATCATCTTCCCACCTGCTGGGCTGTCAACTCAGTCCATTTTATGACTTGCTTTTATAGTACAATGGGGAAAATCCTGAGGAAGAGAGTCATATTCCCAATAGGATTTTGTTTCTTTTCTTCTTATAGATATTAACATTTAAACTTTGTTTTCAGATTAAAAAAACAAAAACTACAGTGCTCCTAAGAGTCCAGGAAAATACATTTGAAGAAGCAAATTAAAACCAGAAATCTTAGGTAAAGAGAATCTTAAGACTTGTAGCCTCAGCTGACCGGGAGTGTGCCCACTGACTGTGGGACCCTTGAGCCTCTGGACGGTTGTGATGGGACAAGTCTTTCCCAGTCAGCTGACCAGGGACCAGACTGAGCGGGTGGCTGAGCGCTGAAGAGGACTGTAAAGAGCTCAGGCTGGCTCTCCAGCCTCTGCTTGAAATGACTGCTCCTAAGTGGCCTCAGATGACCAGGAGATGCCAAGAGCTGAGCCCCTCTCTTCTAAAGTTAAGACTTCATGGAAAAACAGACATTTCAAGGTAAAAAGCTAACTAGCCCTATTTAAAAACTGATGTAAATATGATCCAGCAATTCTACTCCTTGGTATATATGCAAAGAAAAAGAAAACACTATTTTAAGAGGATACATGCACCCCAATGTTCAGAGTAGCACTATTTACAATAGTCAAGATATGGAAGCCACCTAAGGGTCCATCAACAGATGAATGGATAAAAAAGATGTGGTACATACATACAATGGAATGCTACTCAGGCATAAAAAAGAAAAATTTCCATTCGCAACAACATGGATGAAACTGAGAGATCTTATGCTTAGTGAAATAAAAGACACTGTGTGTTTTATAGGTGGAATATTAAAAAAAAAACACAAATGAATATAGCAAAGCAAACAGACTCATAAAAAACAAACTAGTGGTTACCAGTGGGGAGAGGGAAGGTGGAGAAGCAAGAAAGGGGAAGGAGATTAAAAGGTACAGACTACTGTGTATGATATAAATAAGCTACTAGGATATATTGCATAACACAGGGAATATAGCTAGCATTTTACAATAACTACAAATGGAGCATAATGTATAAAACGTTTGAGCTACTATGTCATACATCTGAAGCCAATACAGTATTATAAATCAACTACACATCGAAAGGACTTCCCTGGTGGCTCAAAAAGAATCCGCCTGCAACGTAGAAGACTGGGGTTTGATCCCTGGGTTGGGAAGATCCCCTGGAGAAGGGAATGGCTACCCACTCCAGTATTCTTGCCTGGAAAATTCCTTGAATAGAGGAGCCTGGCGGGCTACAGTCCAAAGCATTGCAACGAGTCGGACAGGACTGAGCCACTTTCACATATGCACACACATACATCAAAAGACAAAAAATTGATGTAGGATCATGAAACACGTTATGTACACATTAACTCTTGGAGTTCTTCAGTGACACTCTCCCCCCTGACTTCTTGGCATCCTGGCCCCCTCATCCAGACCCAGGTTCTTCTGCTAACTTCACAGGAAAGCTATATATGCTGCCACCAAGGCAGCACTGTGCCTTCTAGCCTCCAACAGAGATGCCAAGAATGTTCCACCTCTTCCCAACACTCTGCCATGCTGCCCTATCTGGAGATCTAAAAACCTGTGAATTTACTACTTAAGAAAGAGGGGCACGGACTGGAGCCTTTAGACCTTAGCAAAGCGTTTGTTGAGACAGGAAATATGGGGCTGGTACAATTCAAGGTTATGGGGACCTGTCTTTTTAACTAATTTTTATTGTAGTTGATTTACAATGTTCTGTTAATTTCTGCTGCACAACAAAGTGCACCAGTTACACATATCTACTCTTTTTCAAATTCCACTCCCATATAGATCATTACAGAGCAGAGTTCCCTGTGCCATACAGTAGGTCCTTATTAGTTACCTATTTTAGATACAGCAGTGAGTATATGTCAATCCCAATCTCCTGATTTATCCCTTTCCCCCTTGGTAACCATAAATTTGTTTTCTACATCTGTGACTATTTCTGTTTCATAAATAAGGTCACTTGTATCATTCTTTTAGATTCCTCATGAAAGCATTATCATATGCTATTTGTCTTTGTCTGACTCACTTCACTCAGTATGACAATCTTTAGGCCCACCCATGTCACTGCAAATGACATTATTTTGTTTTTATTTGTGGCTAATAATATTCCCTTGTATTAATATATATGTACATCTTCTTTGTCCACTCCTCTGTTGATGAACATTTAGTTTGCTTCCATGTTCTGGCTGTTATAAGCAGTGCTGCTATGAACACTGGGGTGCATGTAACATTTTGAATTACGGTTTTCTCTAGATATACACCCAGGAATGAGATTTCTGGATCATATGGTAGCTCTAATTTTAGTTTTTTAAGGAACCTCCATACTGTCTTCCATAATGGCTACACTAATTTTTATTCCCACCAACAGTGTAGAGGGTTCCCTTTTCTCCACACCCTCTCTAAGATTTATCATTTGTAGATTTTTTGATGATGGCCATTCTGATTGGTGTGAGGTGATACCTCATTGTAGTTTTGATTTGCATCTCTCTAATAATTATTGATACTGAGCATCTTTTCATGTGCCCCTTGGACATCTGTATGTCTTAGTTGGAGAAATGTCTATTCAGATCTTCCATCCATTTTTTTTGATTGGCTTTTTTTGTATTGAGCTACATGAGCTACTGGACCTGCCTTAACTTTTGTGAGGTGAGTTATATGCCTTGCTGTCTGGGACGAGTCAAGTTTACAGATACAGTGTGAGGGTAGGGGGCAAGGAAAAACGGTTTATTTAAGAGGCAATAATTTTCATCCTTGGACTTGAAAGAGGTGGCAGTCTCTGAACTTCTCACTGTCTTGGTAATAAAGAGAAAGCAAGATATTCCCAGTGGCCCACTGCGCCCATAACTCCAGAACCTGCGCAGTGTCTGAAACGTGCACCCTTGGGGACGGAGCTCTCACAAAGCTGTCTCTCACTTCCTAAAAATATCCGCACTGTGCTCTCCTGTGTCTGTGATCCGCAACCTGCAAGCTGAGAAGCAAATGAGAAAACAGCGGAGAGAGAAGGAGGCAGAGGCTTTAAAGCAAACGAAACTTCATACATTCTTTGTTGTTCTTCTTTTTGCACATCATCAAAGAGCTGCTTGGTGAGGTTATCCATTTTTTCTGTGAAAAGAGAATGAATGCTCTTTGAAATAGGTGTGCAAAGCAATGCCTTGATTGTTTCATGCCACATTTAAGAAAGTAAGAATGTAAGAACAATCAGGTGGTTTTTATTATTAATGGGACTTAAGATGAGAGTATAACTGTCATCTTTTATAAATTAGAACTCTGCTATTAGAATTTGAATTGGACAAGTACAGATGGACAGAGCTAGGCTGCGGATGGCTGCTCCACACACCAAAGGAAACTGACACTGCTGGTCCCAAGGGTCTGCACCTGACGGCCCAGGGCTGATGTGGCTCAGTGCTAAGGAGGCGTCTTTGTTCAGGGCCAGGACTGGGTACCACTTAGACTGGGTAGCTTGGCCAGAGCTAAAATTTGAGTGCAAATCCTTGGCAAGCCACAAACATTATGCCAGCATTGCCCTGACAATACAGGAGGGTGACTAGAAAATTTTTAAAAAACGAGATTCTGAACGATCCCTGCTACCACCATCCACAGTCATCACCCCCTCCCCATCTTGTGATATAACAGCTCGAGGTTTACAGCCTACCATCTGTACTTTGCAAATGGCCCAGGAGATTCTGAGGCACAGACAGGGACAACTGTGCTCTGATAAAAGTTGGAAACAAACCAGGTGAACCTGCAGGGTACAGTTGCCACAATTTAAATACAGTTATTCTCCATAAAGTGAAAGTTCTCTCATTACACCAGAGCCTTCTGGTTCATATTGAAACTCCATTCCCGCCCAGTACCTATTTTCCAAATGACTAGGCTTTTGAACTGGTGAATGTGCATCGGGCCACCTTGGGCTTTACCTTTCAACTCTTCAGTCTTCTCTTGAAGCTTCTGCTGTATTTGCTCTTTTTGTATCTCCAATTCTGAATTATGCTTCTGAAGCTTTGCCAATTTCTAGCAAAGGGAAGAAAAAAATGGTTTTTTGAAAACCTTGTGTTGAGTTTCGCCACCATTGACTGCATATTTTTAAATTTGTATTTTTTGGTCTCGGCACCCATCCATAGGTAACAGCTGGCAGCAGCCCACTGAGAGATGCTGTGTTTAGCTCCACATGCAAGGGCTCCATGTGACTTCAATAGACACTAGTTCCCAGCCTCATCCAATAATGGCTGAAACCAAGGAGAAAGAACCAAATCCAAGGTCTCCCCAAAGTCAAGGCAACTCCTCTTTTTATTGGCTAAAAATAGCCAGGGTATTAATACAGTTAATGTAGGAAATTTATGATATAAAGTGGGTTCACACTTCGAGACTCTTATGACTCAGGAAGGATGTATGATCATAACATAAGTTTTCTAGTAAAGTGTCTGCTGGGCTGGCAGCCCCTGAGTGCTGATGGCCGGTGACTGGCAGTGCGGGAGATGCCAGCCTCTGTGTTGGTGCAGCCAGGCATCTGGTCATGGGGAGGGCAGAGGGATGTCCCTGTCTGTGCCTCAGAATCTCCTGGGCCATCTGCAAAGTACAGATGGTGGGCTGTAAACCTTGAGCTGTCACCACTCTGGGTGTTGTGGGACTTCAGAAGCTGCAGAATGGATGGTAATAAATAATAGGTTTGAAAGTATCAGTTCACGCTTTTGCAGGGCTCAATGAGTCACTTGGCTAAACTATTTCATCTGACAATTTTATACTCACAGTAATTTTGTCAGTCCCTTTTTGTTATTCCAATTTTCCATATGAGGAAACTAAAATTCAGAGAGGGTAAGTGACTTGTCCAAGTTTCCCAGACAAAGAAGATCTGAACCTGGGACATCTGGTTTTTACATCTACTGTTCTTTTTACTATGACACGGAGAGGCAAACCTGCCCATGCTTTGCACTGCTGCTCTGGGGATGATGCTTCCAGGGTGTATGTCAGGCGGACAAGTGACAGGAAACCAAGGTCATGTTGGACAAGAGGGAAGCATTGACCAGGGCCCTTTCTCAGGCCTTCCATCACTTTACACAAGTGGAAGGCAGAGAAAACCTTACAATGTGCTTCTTGAAGCATGAGTCTCCTCTTCTCCCTACCCCCTGCCCCACCAGACGCTAGGCCTCACATTTCCTTCCTCTAAAATGCAGGCTCTCTCCGGTAATGGAAACCAACAGCAAAATCTGATTTCTCTGCAGAAGTCATCTCTGTGGGAAGTGCTGCACCATGATCTCTTCCACAGAAAGACTCACAAGCTATGTCCACAGTCACTTTCAGCACAGACCTCTTCCACGGAAGCCCTGTATCTCATCCCCTTCTCCTCATAATTCTGCCTGTGGGTGGCTGCTCTGTCCAGTTCGGATTCCAGTTTCTGAATCTTCTCCACGTCACTGGCCCGAAGGGCAGCCAAGCAGGTCAGCTTCTCCACCAGCCCGTGGTTCTCTTTGTTCTGGAGGAAAGAAACATCAGATACTTGGGGGTTTATCCAAAACAAAAGAAGCTGTTGCATTAGCTTCTCGCAACTTCTCATCTAAGTGGGAGGATTTTTTACTCTAACCACGGTTATCACCACAATGGCTGGTACGCATCTTTACCCAGTGAGAATAGGGAGGCAGAGCTGGTCAGGCAAATGCTTTCCTGAGTTGATGGATCTTTTAGTCAAAACCCTGGAGCTCCAGGACAACCCTAGTTCTGTGAGTTGAACTGGGTCCTCTTCATCTCCCCAAATTCATATGTTGAAGTCCTAGTCCCCAGTACCTCAGAATGTCACTGTATTTGGAGATTTGGTCTTAAAAGACGTAACTAAGGTAAAACGAGGTCATATGGGTGGACCCTGATCCAGTATGACTGGTGTCTTTATAAGAAGAGATTAGGACAGATGTGAGGGGAGGGGAGACGATGTGAAGACACATGGGGAAGAAGGTCATGTGTAAGCCAAGGAAAGATACCTTGGAAGAGACCAAAGATGCCAACACCTTGATCTTGGACTTTCAGTTTCCTGCACTGTGAGAAAATAAATATCTGTTGTTTAAGCTGCCCTGCCTGTGTTGGCTTATCATGGCAGCCCTAGTACATGAATACCTGGGATGGAGCTCAGGCAGTGTGGGGTCTCCCACAGGCCCTGCTCCCAGCGGGTCAGGGCTGTTTTTCTGGGCTGTTCCATACCAGCGACATAACATGCAGGACTGCTGCACAACAACACAGGGAGGGGAAACCGTATCAAAACACTCACCCATTCACCAAGGACTCCTATAGTACAGCTTAGCACCACGTTTAAAGTTTATTGGAGGAGAGCTTGATTTTTACTTGAGACAGATGCAGCCGTGAGTTTTATAGATCTGGATGCTGCATTTTCCTGGACACAGCCTTTCCACACTGACTGTATTTTGGTTTTTTTTTTCCTATCAATAGGAACAGAATGGGGAATCTTCCCAAACTAGGAAGGCCTTTAGTCAGACTATATGGACCTTTGGGAAAGTAAAAAATGGCAACTCCTCTAGGCCAATGCAGCTCCGAGGGAGCATGGCTTGGCATGAAGGTAGCATCTTTGTGCAAATTAGAAAAAGACACTATGCCTCAAGGCAGTACAACTTTACACCAAGACACATGGGCTGGCAAGTGAAGTCACACTGGATTTCAGCTCCGCCTGCTTTCTTGTGCAGTGTGCAACCTACCAAATCATCTGTATCCGCCCTTTACAGCATACTTCTGCTTCCTGGCTCAGGTAGTCCATATAAACTGTTTGAGCCTCCTAACATGGGCATAAATCTTAACAGTGTTGACAAAAAATCAATCAATAGTCAATATAAAAAAGAAATAAAGTATTTTATTTGAGTCAACCTAAGGATTATAACCCAGGAAACAGTTTTTCAGAAAACTGGAGACTGTTTCAACTGTTAGAGGTCAAAATACAGGTGTGTAAGCTTTTGAGACAAAAGTAAAATACTGCTATTTTACACAGTCCAACAAGGCAAGTAGCGAATCACTGTGACCCCTTAAAGGATTTGAGCAGAATCTTATCTCTTAAGGAGCTACCTTGCTGGTACCTGAAGGAAACTGCTTTCTTTTGAGGGGGGGTGGGGGAGGGGTGGTAAATAGTCATTTCTGGGTCTTCTAAGGGGATCCAGTTGTTGTATCCCGCAGATGCGCAATGTCCACTAAAGGGGATAACATTGTGGCTCAAACGGCAGAGAAAACTTTGTGTTCAATTTTCCTTGTCTTGCCTTAAAATAACTTTATTTTATCAACAGCATAGTTAAGGAACCGGTCTGGAACTAAAATAAATCTATTAGAGTAAATATGAAGGATGCATTATGAACACTTACCTGGTCTTCTAGCTTTTTCTGCAAACGCTGAACTCTGTAAGTGAGCTGAATGTTGAGCACGAATCGTCGGATATTCTGGAATCTGCGTCTGGCCAGCCAGGCCCGGGCATATTTCTGAAGGATCACAGCCTTGTGTTCCTTCAGCATCTTTAAAAGAAGATTTTGTGAAATGCAAAATAGGTCTCTGTTTTTCTCATCAACTCTTCCAGTGTTGGGAGATGTAACTACCAGGATACTTCTACAGGGTGAAATACCAATTTCTTTTAATCAACCCACACAATTCTGGTACCCATTTTTTTTTCTAGATTTTTAAAAATTAAACTCTAGTTTACTTACAATGTCGTATTAGTTTCAAGTGTACAGCAAAGTGATTCAGTTATACATATATATATATATATATTTCTTTTTCAGATTCTTTTGCACTATAGGTTATTACAAGATATAGCTCCCTGTGTATACTCTTTGTATAGAGTATTGTCTTTGTAATTTATCTATTTTATATATTGTAGTGTATATATGTTAATCCCAAAGTCTTAATTTTTCTATTCCCCTCCCACTATCCTCTTGGTAACTAACCCTATGTTTGTTTTCTATGTCTGTGAGTCTATTTCTGTTCTGTAAATAAGTTCATTTGTATCATTTTAAAAAATTCCATGTATAAGTGATGGCATATGATATTTGTCTTTCTCTGATTTACTTCACTTACTATGATAATTTCAAGCCCCATCCATGTTGCTGCAAGTGACATTATTTCATACTTTTTTAATGGTTGAATAACATTCCATTGTATATATGTACCACATCTTGTTTATACATTCATACATACATGAATAGACATTTAGGCTGTTTCCAGGTCCTGGCTACTGTAACAGCACTGCTATGAACATAGGGGTGGGTGGATCTTTTCAAATTAGAATTTGTTCTAGAAATATGCCCAGGAGCGGGATTGCAGGATCATATGGTAACTTTATTTTTAGCTTTTTAAGCAACCTCCATATGTTCTGCACAGTGGCTGCACCAATTTACATTCCCACCAAAAATGTAGGAGTGTTCCCTTTTTTCCATAACCTTTCCAGCGTTTATTATTTGTAGATTTTTTGATGATGGCCAATCTGACTGGTGTGAGGTGCTACCTCGCTGTAGTTCTGATTTCCATTTCTCTAAATCATTAGTGATGCTGAGAATCTTTTCATGTGCCTCTTGGCCATCTGCACGTCTTCTTTGGAGAAATGTCTATTTAGGTCTTCTGCCCATTTTTGACTGAGTTGTGTTTAGTAGTATAAGCTATTCGTATATTTTGGAAATTAATCCTTTGTTGGCAGCATCATTTGCAGATATTTTCTCCTACGTAGACTTTGGAAACAATAACCAAATCCTAGCTGCAGCAGACACATATGAACAGACATTCATATCCCAGAAAGTCACACCTTTTGATACCTCCTCCTTGCCAGGAACCCTCGGGTGTAGGCCTGGATGGTGATGGTGGCCACGCGAATCAGCTGGTACAGGTTGCGGACGAGATACGCTCGACAGCACTTCTGAATGACAGTGGCTGCCCATGCTTCTTTTAAGGCTGTGGCAGTAACCGCTTTCCTTGGTTAAGAAGAATGTAAAGTAAACCTATTACCAATGGGGCACTGACTTCCACCCCAGAGCAACCAGCTTGTGCAATACTTCTTAACTGAGGCATATTCCGAAGTTCTGCAAATTATGCATTAAATGTTGGAATGGTTTACACTAATGTCTAGTCAAGATCAGTGTTACTGCTTCTTTCCATCCTGATCTGAACATGGATCTGTTTCAGGAATGAGGCACCATATGGGAACTTTCCCACTCTTCACATTCAGGCCAATCACCCCACCGTCACTCATGTACCCCAGAGGCTGTGCCAACACAACTGTGCTTTGGCATTGCACTTGCTCATTCATCTAGTCAACCATGTGGGAGATCACGCTGGCGCCTCCAGATCAGGGGTTGAAAAACTATGACCTTGGGGCCACAGCTGCACCCTCCTGCCTGCTATTGTCACCTTTTGTTGGAATACAGCACACTTATTATTTACATATAGCCCATGGCTGATTTCATGCTACAAAGGTAGAGTTTAATAGTTGTGAGAGAAACCGCAAGACCCCCAAAAGCCCAAATATTTGGCCTTGACAGAAAAAGTTTGTCCACTCCTATCTGACGGCCTGGAGGTGAGGAGAAAGTTCTTACCTGCAGAGTTTATGACCTTGTAAAACAGACTTAGAAATGGTCAAGTGGGATAAGAAGAAAAATAAAATAACTACTAAAAGATCTGTAAGAGAGATCCTCCTGAACTATCATTCTGCTTGGGAAGAACTGACATGTCAGCCAGACTTGACAGAAAAGTAGGATTTCTGAAGACAGTAAAGGCTGGAAAAGGCAGTTCAGACTAAGGGACAGGTGAAGACATGGAGGCCTAGCAGTGCCTGAAACATTCAAAAAAAGAGAATTTGTCTGGAATTGCTAGAATATAAGATACATGGAGAAAACTGGTAGTTAGTGAGGTGAGAAAAATAGATGGGGACTGTTTGTTATCAAAATATGTATTTACCGAACATATACTATGTGACAGTCAGTGTGCTGCATCCTAGATACGGATGCAGAGGCAACCACAAATATCATTGCTGTCCTACCAGAGCGTCAATGCTTACGGCTCCATCCAAGCCATGGGGACCCATGAGTACCATGTCAAAGGCTGAGTGCCCTTCTCTGGGAAACAGGGGACACTGCAAGCATGAGAGGCAGAAGCAGGAGCTCTGTGAGGCCCTGCTTTAGAAGTTAGGAAGGAAAGGCAGCAGGCAGAGAGGGCTGTGCTGTAGAGTGAAACACAAACGATGAGGAAGGCTTCATGCAGGGCAGGGGTGTGGGAATGAAATAAGCGGGACAGACACAGGAGGCAAACGGAGGAAGCATGAGTTTGGGGAAGAAGGTAACTCTGGATTTCCTGCCCTGGGGACTCCTGCTATTAACTGAAACCACAGGCTTGAGAGGGAGAGCAAGGCTAACTGTAAGCATGTATAACGGGTTGCCTAGGGAAGTGTGGGCCAGGAGATAGGGGCAGGGTGGTGGAATGGCAAGCCCAGTTTGCGGTGTGCTGAGATGAAGACTGGTGTGTCAGTCACGTGGAGGAGCCCAGATACTGTTGGAGGTCAGGCATAAGGCTCAGGATGGGGGAACCTGAGCGACACAGCCTGTCCTTAAAAACATGGCTCTCCTACTACAGTCACAGCGAGGGACGGAGGGAGGCTGGGCAGACACAGAGATGCACAAAATGCTATCCAGGAAGGGTGCTCCTCTTGCTGGCCATCCCAGGATGGCCTCTTGGGAGCGCTTACAGAGGGCTGGGATGGCTGTGCCCTCCACTCGGGCAGCCCAATCCAGGGGACTCATTGCTTGTGGGCAGAGCCTTGCCACAGTCTCCTCAGGCATGGTCTGACCCCACTACCTGCAAGATAGGCTGGTCAGTGGCGTCCTTACTCAGAAACTTCACTTGGACCCTATCACCCTTAGGCGTTTTCAGTTCCCAAGGAACAGTGGCTCAGCCTCTCTACCTGGTCTCACCAGGAATTCTGGCCCTCTTCAGCAACACCCTGATCGGGGCTTTCTCTCATCAAGGACCTGGTTGCCACCTCTGCTGGGTGGGGACAGTACGCAGAGTCAGCACCACGGCCCCTAAGGACACATCCATCTGCTCTTGAGGCTCACAGTCACCTGTGGACCCACACACACATCTGCACCTGGGTCCTGGGAGGAAAAAGGCCCCACCCCCTGGAGGTGATAGGGAAGAAAGTCATACAGTTGCTCAAGTCTGCTTGGTTCCAACTCAGAGGGTAAAGAATCCGCAATTCAGGAGACCCAGGTTTGATCCCTGGGTCTGGCAGATCTGGAGAAGGGAATAGCTATCCACTTTCCAACTGCCCGAAGAATTCCTTGGACAGAGGAGCCTGGCAGGCTATAGATCATGGGGTCTCAAAGAGTTGGACACGACTGGGCGACTAACACTCGCACAATTTTCACTCCTGGTTCCAACATACCTCACAGTTTTCTGACCCCGGAAATACTGCTGGATGATCACGGCTGCTCGTCTCTCTCTGAGGAATTTTTTTCTCTGGAGCCAGCCACGGACATGCTTTTGTATCACAATACAACCCTGCCTCAGTTTATCCAACCGGAGTTTTTCTAAATAAGCCACTTGCCCTGCTCTGAAGAAAATTTTGGTTTTGCCAAACTGGTACTGATTAGAATCCTAGAAGAGAAAAATGACATAATCAGAACAAACTTTCAGATTTTCTACAGTATTTGGAAAAGATGTTTAGAGATCCAAACACACCACCAACATTGTCATTTTGACATCTCTGTTCTTTGACATAAAGAGGAAAACTTCTGATTGTGACCTGGAAGTTTATGTTTTGCCTTTTTGTTTAAAGACTCTTTGGGAGAAGAAGTGGACAGGAGGGTGAGGGGTGTGTCTGTGGGGTGAGGAGGGATGTTTACATTGTGGGTGATTTTCAACTGGGCTTCTGGGGAGCTCCAGCCTCTCATGGTGGTTTTCACAGAAGAGCGGAGGTGCCTGGAAAGACTTCATTTCTGTCTCCATTTGGCATCTCTTCACCACTCTTCCAACAACACGAGAGAAGACTCTACACATGGCCATCACCAGATGGCCAACACTGAAATCAGACTGATCATATTCTTTGCAGCCAAAAATGGAGAAGCTCTATACAGTCAGCAAACACAAGACCAGGAGCTGACTGTGGCTCAGATCATGAACTCCTTATTGCCAAATTCAGACTTAAATTGAAGAAAGTGGCAAAAACCACTAGACCATCCAGTTATGACCTAAATCAAATCCCTTATGATTATGTACTGGAAGTGAGAAATAGATTTAAGGGAGTAGATCTGATAGAGTGCCTGATGAACTATGGATGGAGGTTCATGACATTGTACAGGAGACATAGAGCAAGACTATCCCCAAGAAAAAGAAATGCAAAAAAGCAAAATGGCTGTCTGAGGAGGCCTTACAAATAGCTGAGAAAAGAAGAGAAGTGAAAAGCAAAGGAGAAAAGGAAAGATATACCCATTTGAATGCAGAGTTCCAAAGAATAGCAAGGAGAGATAAGAAAGCCTTCCTCAGTGATCAGAGTAAAGAAATAGAAGAAAATAATAGAATGGGAAAGATGAGATCTCTTCAGGAATATTAGAGATACCAAGGGAACATTTCATGCAAAGATGGGCTCAATAAAGGACAGGAATGGTATGGACCTAACAGAAGCAGAAGATATTAAGAAGAGGTGACAAGAATACACAGAAGAACTGTACAAAAAAGATCTTCATGACCCAGATAGTCACGATGGTGTGATCACTCACCTAGAGCCAGACATCCTGGAATGTGAAGTCAAGTGGGCCTTAGAAAGCATCACTACGAACAAAGCTAGTGGAGGTGATGGAATTCCAGTTGAGCTATTTCAAATCCTAAAAGATGATACTGCAAAAGTGCTGCACTCAATATGCCAGCAAATTTGGAAAACTCAGCAGTGGCCACAGGACTGGAAAAGGTCCGTTTTCATTCCAATCTCAAAGAAAGGCAATGCCAAAGAATGCTCAAACTACCACACAATTGCACTCATCTCACATGTTAGCAAAATAATGCTCAAAATTCTCCAAGCCAGGCTTCAACAATACATGAACCGTGAACTTCCAGATGTTCAAGCTGGTTTTACAAAAGGCAGAGGAACCAGAGATCAAATTGACAACATCCACTGGATCATTGAAAAAGCAAGAGAGTTCCAGAAAAACATCTATTTCTGCTTTATTGACTATGCCAAAGCCTTTGACTGTGTGGATCACAATAAACTGTGGAAAATTCTTCAAGAGATGGGAATACCAGACTATCTGACCTGCCTCTTGAGAAACCTGTATGCAGGTCAGGAAGCAACAGTTAGAACTGGACATGTAACAACAGACTGGTTCCAAATAGGAAAAGGAGTATGTCAAGGCTGTATATTGTCACCCTGTTTATTTAACTTATATGCAGAGTACATCATGAGAAACACTGGGCTGGATTAAGCATAAGATGGAATCAAGATTGCTGGGAGAAATATCAATAATCTCAGATATGCAGATGACACCATCCTTATGGCAGAAAGTGAAGAACTAAAGAGTCTCTTGATGAAAGAGAAAGAGGAGAGTGAAAAAGTTGGCTTAAAGCTCAACATTTAGAAAACTAAGATCACGGCATCTGGTTCCATCACTTCATGGCAAATAGATGGGGAAACAGACTTTTTTTTTTTTTGCCCCAAAATCACTGCATATGGTGACTGCAGCCATGAAATTAAAAGATGCTTGCTCCTTGGAAGGAAAGTTATGACCAACTTAGCATATTAAAAAGCAGAGACAATACTTTGCCATAAAAGGTCCACCTAGTCAAGGCTATAGTTTTTCCAGTAGTCATGTATAGATGTGAGAGTTGGACTGTAAAGAAAGCTGAGCGCTGAAGAATTGATGCTTTTGAAATGTAGTGTTGGAGAAGACTCTTGAGAGTCCCTTGGACTGCAAGGAGATCCAACCAGTCCATCCTAAAGGAGATCAGTCCTGGGTGTTCACTGGAAGGACTGTGTTGAAGCTGAAACTCCAGTACTTTGGCCACCTAATGCAAAGAACTGACTCATTTGAAAAGACCCTGATGCTGGGAAAGATTGAGGGCAGGAGGAGAAGGGGACGAGAGAAGATGAGATGGTTGGATGGCATCACTGACTCAATGGACATGAGTTTGAGTAAACTCCAGGAGTTGGTGATGACAGGGAGGCCTGACATGCTGCAGTCCATGGGGTCGCAAAGTCGGACACAACTGAGCGTTTGAATGGAACTGAACTGAACACCACTCCTCTCCTGGCCATCAGAGCTACTTCCCCCATCTCTTTTCTGTCAAAACTCATGGCTTCAGCAACCTTCTAAATCCACACTGAGAGCCACTACCTGGCTTAGTGACTGTCTAGCTGAGTGTGCAACCTAAGTTAGGCCCACAGAAGTCGCTGGGCTGCAGGAGAAAACAGCAGGACAGGAGGACACGGTGGGGGAGGGTAGGGACCCTGAAGGTGAGTCCTGCTGTTGGGAGATGATGCCCCACGAGTAAGTCTGCTCTGATCTCCTTAGCACACAGAAACTTGGGCACATCTGCTTTCTTCCCAGGCGTTCATGACAGTTACGGCCCCGAGACACAGGCAAAGATGAGGCAAGTGCTTGGGAGCCCACGATTCCCAGAGGGAGGACTGACCTGGATGAGCCGGTGTAAGACCACTTTGCACACCTCCTTTTTATCGCTGAATGAAAGCTCCTGCTTGGTCATGAGGACCCCGTAGCGGCTGTAGAACTCAATGTATGTCCACCTGGAAAACCAAGGCAGACTGGAGGAGGTGGGCTGGAGGAAAGCACGTGCTGTCTGCGGACCCCACAGGCTTGCTTGCCACTGTTTTGGGGACATGGCCTTGACCTTTGACCCAGAGCTCCTGGGACACCGCCCCAGCCTCACCTGAGCACACTTGTGTGCTCCCTGGATGCCTTTTGTTAATGCTTCATTTCAACAACTGTCCCCCCCTACCCCTCCAGCTCCCTGTCCCAGGAGCCCTGAGGAGGCAGCAAGTGACCCTCCCTAGGACAGACAGGGTGGGGGGTGGGGACGGTGGCCTCTGTCTACATGCTGCCCATCTATCACCCTCTCTGGCCTTCCCACAGCACAGCGGGACAGCCTATGGACAGCTCTGACAGAACACAAGGCCGTTTTCCTCCCTTGGTTCTCAGCACAGACCTGAAGTTGGGCACTTTTCCCCCCAGTGAGGAACTGACAACATACCTAGAAGGGTAGCTCTGGGCACTAATGCGAATTGTTTCTAAGACGCCACAGGCTCGCAGCTGCTGAACAATTCTTTTGGAGTCAAACCTTAAGGACGATTTGATCACGTGTTAAACCATCATAGTTGATAAACAGGCCCATAAACAGTGCAGCAGACCTGCCCCCATTGTGAGCTCCTGGGGAACAGGATCTGCCTGCGTGACCCCCAAGCCCAGCAGATACTTAATAAATACATGTTGGATGTCGATGAGGGTAGCACCTCTGTGAAACAGTTCAGAAGCCACGCAGAGGACACAGGGAAAGGACCAGTTGGTTGGGTTTTTTTTTTGGAGTTTCAAATCAGCTTTCTAAAGACTATCAAGTGTGAATTAATAGTCAAAGAATGTATGACATTTGAGAAATAGTTCCAATCAAAAGTAAACTATTGACATTTAGGTTATTAAAATAATAAATATGAAGCAGAATATAAGTACTTGCATAAATATGTAACTTCTTTAATCTACCATTATTCATTATGATGGTATGTCATCACTTGGGCTAAGATGAATGCATTCACTAGGTCTATATTCAAACTGTTGTTCTGTACATACTATAATTTTGAACCACAACATTTTTCAAATATTTTATGTCTTGACAAAAAAACCTTTAAATTATTGTAAGAAAGCAATTAATAAATAACAAACATTTAGGAGAAACAGATCATGAAAATCTGCTTCAGTTTTTAGATTCGAATGAATAAATGTTTAAAAGTTTTTGGTAGATACATAGTAACTTGATTCCAGTAATTTGACTTTCAAAATATTTACCTCAAACTAACTTTTTAACATCTGTTTTATTCTTTATAGTATGATCATCTAGAGGGCTCCAAAAAACCATATGATAATCTTAATAGATGCAGAAAAGGCTTTCAACAAAAGTCAACATTCATTTATTATAAAAACTCTCCAGAAAGTGGTATAGAGGGAACCTACTTCCACATAATAAAGACTGTATGATAAACCCAGAGTAAACATTATTCTAAATGGGGAAGAACTGAAAGCATCTCCTCTAGGAGCAGCTGATTCTGACCAAGGCGGCAGGGAGCAGCTTTGTGGGGAAATGGCCTTCAGGCTGACCTTTGAATGACAACCAGAGTGAGAGAAACATCCAAGCTCACCCATCCTAGCACCTACATGTTGCTACGTTTCTTGTACAAGACACGCTGGCTTAGGTCTGACCCTCTGAGGACCCCAGACACAAGACGGTGCAGCCGCTAAGATGCCTCAGCTCGAGAGGCCCTCTGTGACTTCTACTCGTGGCTTCCGGTCTTCCTCTTGGGGCCCCAGAGAATAAGCCTCAGACCTCGTAACAGGTTTGAAGGCAAAACTTCAGACCCCTCTACAGCCTTTCTCCTACAAACACATACACATTCTTACCATCAAGGAAAATGTTCTGGCTTTCTCAGTTGCATAAGCTCTAGCCATAGAATAACTCTTTCAGATCCAGCCCCTTTGCTTAATCCCGGAGATGAGCTGGCTTAGCCAGAGGGGTTGAACTAATGCTAGATGTAGAGGGCAGACTTGTTTTGAATCATTTAAAAACCCAGAAATAGTAAAGTTCTAGGCAACTATAAGCAAATTCTCCAACATCATGACAGAGACGGCTTTCTCGGTGTTCTTCCCCCCCTCTGTCGCAGCACACTTACTCAAAGGGCAGTTTCTCATCATTTGGCTTAATGCACCGGACATAGTGGGGAGTGGTGGCGTTGAGAGTCTCCATGAGCAAGTAGAGAGAGCTGCGGAACTAGGAAACAAGGTCAGGCGGCAGACACTGCACTGAATACAACGCTTAGATGAAGGTTAAAGGAAAAGGGGCCTCTACCGTACAGCACAGGGACCTCTGCTCAAAGGTGTGCGGCAGTCTGGATGGGAGGGGAGTTTGGGGGAGAATGGATACATGTATATGTATGCCTGTGTCCCCTTGCCGTTCATCTGAAACTATCACTTTGTTAATCAGCCATACTCCAGTATAAAACAGAAAGTTAAAAAAAGAGGTTCAGCCTTGATAAGTTACTCAAGAAGAGGAAAAATGAAGTTCATGCATAAACAGCTATTCCGAACAGTTTTAGTCTATGACTGGGTTTATCTCAGCGTATCCTGCTTTGATGGACAGAGCAGTTCTCTGTCCAAAACTCCCCAGTAGCCAAGGGCTTAGTGAGTCAGCTTATTGTGCAAATATATGGTTTGCTCAGGTGTGCAGCCTTAGAGGTGGAAGCATCATGATGATGCACTATTACTCTTCTTTGCGTTTATATTAGATTTGAAGAAGCTCAGTGCCCGTGTCCATGGCTTCCTAGGTAATGCAGTGGTAAAGAATCTGCCTACCAGTGCAGGAGACATAAGAGACATGGGTTCGGAAAAGAAAAAAGAGACATGGGTTCGATCCCTGGGTCTGGAAGATCCCCAGGAGGAGGGCGTGGCAAACCACGCCAGTATTCTTGCCTGGAGAATCTCATGGAGAGAGGAGCCTAGCAGGCTGCAGTCCAAAGGGTCACAAAGAATCAGATATGACTGAGCACAGCACAGTGTCCAGGCCCAGAATGGTCCCACCCAGCCCTGATCCCTGCCCTCAGCCTGGCTGGACCCTCAGCCATTCTCTGGGTACCTTGCTCCCCACGGTGCTCCGGAAATGCTTGTTGTTTGGCTTGATGACTGGCTTTGCAGATTTAACTGTGATCGCTGAACCAAATGGGGAAGAAGGAACCGGATTTTCTTGAAAAAAGTTGGCACATAGATGAAACTAGGAAGAACAGAGAGGGTTTTAATGTCAAAAGTGTTTGCCCACAGTCCTTAGCTGGTATAATCGAAGAAAAGGTCACCATAATCCCAACCTGTCTAAACCAGTGGTGGGTAGAGTACAATCCTGGCCAAATCTCAGTTCCACAAGGGGATCACCCTCACTGGGGATGACTGATGGTTTCTTTCCCAGGAATGAGAGTAGGAAGGAAACCATGTGAATGTCTGTATGTGGGTATCACTTCAAGAGTCAGAAAACGAGATAATTTTCCTCCTTCTGTGCCTTGGCTCATGTTGCTTCTGCACTCGGAATCTCTTCCCTCCTAACCTCACATTCTCAGCCCTACAGATTCAACTGTTGTTCAGTCACTAAGTTGTGTTGGACTCTCTGTGACCACATGGACTGTAGCCTGCCAGGTTCCTCTGTCTTCCACCGTCTCCTACCTAGAGTTTGCTCAAATTCATGTCCAATGAGTTGGTGATGCTATCTAAACCCTACTCATTATTTAAGGTTCTATTATAATATTTTCCAGCCCCACTCCCTTCAGAATACCTTTCCTGGTGTCCCAGCATGAATTAATTCCAACTTCCTCTGAGTTATCTTAATCTTTAATCTGTATCTTTTTTTAAGACACTACTTTCTACTCTGCATCACTTGTTCCTTTAAATGCCTTATCTCTTGGAGAAGACCTTATGTTTTCTTCTTTTAAATCAGACATTGAGAATCTCCTTTGGGGGAGAATTCTTGCCTGATATCCTGGAGCCCCCATGGAACAAATGAATCTGAAATTCCCAGGCCTCTGATGTCTTGTGGGTTTAGTGGAGAGACCCATCTGTGCTTCATGGCAATCTGAAATCCTCTTGAGGAATTCAGCATGCTGGACCCCAAGCTGGCCTGGGGTGAGTAAACAATCAGTGAATTACGTCAACTAACTTGGTACACAAAATACAGCCTATTTCTACATTGAATTCTCTGTTATAAATCAATTTAATAACTTAAGTTTCCATGACCTGTGATTTATTTATGACCATTAGGGGAAGTGCTCAGGCTTATATGGGAAATTGTCAAAATACTTAAGCATTAACAAAGGACAAGGGACCTTCAAAAACAAGGAAAATAAGTATGATAATCAAATCTTCACAAGAAATGAAGGACTGTGTATGAAACATCCTTATTCTCAAACTTTAAGAATTTGAGTTCTTAAAATTCTTAAATTGAGAGAAATGTTTAAGGAGGAAAAGAAAAAGCCAGAAGTCACTCTTAACGGTGACACTTCAGCACACAGCACCATGGATTCAAGGAGCTCTCGTTCACAGAGCAGCACTCTGCCTTGCTGTGGTTTTCTTGAGCATTTATTTAGCCCTTCCTACCACGATTTGCTCTCATCTTGGAGGTATGTTGCTCCCTGTGCGTTGTGAGCTCCTTGAGGTCAGGAACCCTGTCTGTCTTGTTTACTGCTATTTCCCCAGAGTCTAGGACAGTGCTTGGTGTATGGTAGGTGCAGTATAAATATTTGTGAGTGAAGGTATAAAGTGTGAATCATGACTTTTTAAATGACCATCTTCGCTGTCCTTCCTCTCTATCATTGGCACATTTGAGTTTTGATTTTGCATGTAGTGATAATTTGAATCCTTTAAGAAGCTAGAAACGTATTTTAGTGCCAATTCTAAAATGGTCATTTTTTGTTTGTATATGAAACCACCTTGAGTAGCATCTAGATTTCTAATGAAGAAGGATGATACAGTTGGGATTAAGTATCTTGGACTAGTACCAGATCTTCTGAAGCATCTGGCCAGCTTGGTATCCTGTGAAAGCTTTTTGTTTTCTGGGTAGACATTCTTATACAGTATTGTCTTTAAAATTAGATTGTCTCTTCTGTATTGAAAGCATTTTTATAATTTAAAAATTAGTATTTTCTTATAGACAGTATGCAATAAAGCTGAAGAAGGATATATGGCTTTTGCAAATACTTTAAGAGTAGATAAAATTTTAGATTTGTAAAATTAATATATTGTGCAGGCACAAAATAGTTTTAAATTATATTTTAAAAAGCTCTCTAAAAATAAAAATTAAACAAAACGAAATACTCATCACTATACTAATGAGGATGACTTTTTGCATGTAGAAGCTACAATTTGTTGTTATAAGACAGATGACACGCACATGTTTCTTTCTCTTGATACACACCTAGGTCCATGTCAAGTACACAATGAATAACATTAACTACCCTTTAGGACTTTACAAACCTTGCTTGCTCTCAGGATTTCAACCAGCATGTCATAGACGGTATCTCTGTTCTTCTCAAGGAAACCTTCACATTTATATTCTACCTATGCAAACAAAGGAGTTATTTCCAAAGAGGCAAAGGCTGACAGCATCTAAGTACCACAAATTTCTTTTTTTTTTAAAGAAAGATTAATGAAGGGGCTATAAAAGCAATGTTTTAAAAAGAGATTCAGTTTCTGTTTGTCTCAGCAACCTTATTATATTATAGAAAGCTTAGAAAGCTGGGGCTGTGTCATCTGATGGAAAGCACAATATTCTCCCACTGCCTGGACTTCTCACTGGCCACTCTACACTCACCTACACTCACCTGTTAGTTCCCACTGGCCACAGGTGACTGTTCCCTGTTATATGTGCAATTAATAAAAGAAGACCTCACTTAGGGTTCTCTTTGCCTTTGAAGTCACCAGGAGGAGGAGAAAAGCTCAGTGGTATCCTTTGAGTTCAAACAGAAATGTCTTCCTGAATCAGCATTAATGTGGTAGAAAGAAAAGAAAAACTGACCAGCTGACCACACAGCTTTCCAAGGCACAAAATCCTTAGAGTCAGATTTAGAGTGGGTTAGAGTTTGGTTTAGAAAAACCCTCCATGAAGCCCTTTATGATTCATAAGCCAGAGTGGCTCCTTAAATATTCAAATCTCTAGTTAGTGACAAAGCTACAGTCATCAAAACAGTATGGCACTGGCATAGATAGACACATAAATCAATATAACAGAGTAGAGAGCCCAGAAATGAACCCACACTTGTACGGGCAATTAATCTATGACAAAGGAGGCAAGAGCATATGGTGGGGAAAAGACAGCCTCTTCAATAAGTAGTGTTGGGGAAACTGGACAGCCACATGTAAAAGAATCAAACTGGACTACTCCCACATCATGCACAAAAATAAATTCAAAATGGATTAAAATTTAAATGTTAGACCTGAAAACATTAAACTTGTAAAAGAGAACACAGGTAGCATGCTCTTTGACATTGGTTTTAGTAATACTTTGGGGGATATGTTTCCTCAGACCAGGGAAACAAAAGCAAAAATAAATCGGGCTATACCAAACTAAGGAGTTTTTACACAGCAAAGGAAGCTATCAACAAAACAAAAAGGCTACCTATTGAATGGAGAAGTTATTTGCAAATGATATATCTGATAAGGGATTAACATCCAAAATATAAGAACTTATACAACTCAACTACAAAAAAAGAATTCTATTTAAAAAATGAGCAGAGAATCTGAATAGATATTTTTCCAAAGAAGACAAACAGATGGTCACCAGGCACATGAAAATATACTCAGTGCTACTAATCACTGGGGAAATGCAAATCAAAGCCACAGTGAGATAAACCTCACACCTGTCAGAATAGCTATCATCGAAAAGACAACAAATAACAAGTGTTGGTAAGGATGTGGGGAAAAGAGAACACTCGTGTACTGTCAGTGGGAATGCAGACTGGTGCAGCCACTATGGGAAACAGTATGGAGTTTACTCAAAAAATTAAAAATAGAATTACCATTTGATCCAGCAATTCCACTCCTGGGTGTGTGTGTGTATATATGTATATATGTGTGTATCTCTCTCTCTCTCTCTCTCTCTCTCTCTCTCTCAAGAAAACCAAAACACTAATTCAAAAAGATATTTGTACCCCTGTGGTTAATTGCAGCACTATTTACAATGGTCGAATCTCTGGATTGTATGTTTAAAAATGTGATATTCTTCATAAATTAAAAAAAATTTTTTTAAATTGTGAACAAACAAGCTCTTGGGGTGCTGGAATGTGGATGCAGAGAGGGTGTTCAGGGACCCCTGACAAGGATGCTGCTTTGCCCCACGGGTAGGAAAGTATCCTTACTGGTGCACAGATTGGGTTAGGAACCAGGAACACTGGCTGTCTGTAAACACACCCTTGTGAATAAAGCACGAGGACTGTTGAGTAAGTTCTTCCAGGCTGGTGTGTGAGCCACTAGATAAACAAGCAAAGGTGTAATAAATAGCTTTCCCAGGAGACTGTCTGCAGGGACAGTGTCACAGGCAGCTAAGTTTCTCTGCCGGGGCTCTAAGGACCACGGCAAAGTACTGTATCTAAGCACAGCTGCCTTGCTCTGAAGACAATTTTATTTTCCTGGCTAGTTAAATTGAGAATGTAAGCTAACGCTATGGCATGCGTAGTTTCTTCCCTCCAATCCACAGTCCACACAAAATACAGCATTGTTAGCTCTCTTAAGAGGATCCTCTTAGAAGTACCAAATGTCAAGAATTAAATGTACAGAAACCATGTACTATAGACAAGGTCTCTTGAAGTAAATCCCATATATGTGCTTTACAGGAAGTCTGATGCCTTTTTCTTTTTTTTACTTGGGATCACAACTGTGAAAATATAAAGGACAACTAGAAAATATAACTTGATACATCAACACTCATTTCATGTGCATCTCTTCAGGAGCCTATATGAAAAACTTGCAAGCAAGCACTAAAAGGCAATCATATTTAACAGTGCTCCTCTCACCCACACAGGTTATTAGAGCTGAGCAGCTGGCTGTCCCCTCCGCTGCCCCTGTGGGTACCCAGGCATGACCAGAAGACTGACCCACAGCATTAGCGGCTAGGACACACAAGCCCAGGCTGTCCCCATGATCCCAAGGTGCTGGCCAGGCCACAGGAGTAACACCCAAACTGGGTAATAAAGCAGAGAGCAGGAGTTTTCTTAAGGAAGGAAAGTAAGATGACAAAGCATGTTTAGGGCAGGTGGTTATGGTGAATTGTCTTCTTATCCTTCCATTTTCTAAGCTTTCTGTAATTTGATTTTTTAAAATAATTTTGAAATTAAAGTAACATTTTTCCATAAGAAATTGGAGACATACAAACAAAACAAAGATCACCTAGAAAACCCATCATCTTGAGTCAATCTCTGTTACCAAAGTAATAAATAAATAATGACAATAAAAAAGCAAAGGGTCAAAAAAAGACATAGCTTTCAATGTAGGAAACAACTACTCTGTCTTTCTCAAAAAGTTAATTTATTTTGGCTGTGCTGGGTCTTAGTTGTGGCACACAAACTCTTATTTGTGGCATGTGAGATCTAGTTCCCTGGCCAGGGTCTGAACCCAGGCCCTTGCATTGGGAGCATGGAGTTTTAGCCACTGGACCACCAGGGAGGTCCCTATCCAGTCATAATTATAACAATTTCATACAGAAAATAAACTAATAAATGGTTAACGAACTTATAATATAAGCCCCAAATCAGAAATGAGGTCCACTGGCAATACGTTTATCTTTAAAAAATATAATTGAAACTCATGTATTATGTGATAAAGCCAAATTGAGAACTGTTACTCTCTCACACACACACACTCGTGTACACACAAGTATTCTTCATCACAGCTGTAATTAAGTGTGACAGTTCTGACCAGAAAAGCCCCTGGCCTGCCTGCTCCTCCCAGGGGACAGCTAGATAGCCGAGGGCAGACAGCTCTGCTCCAGACGCTCACTGTACCTTATCTGCAAAGTGCTGGATGATAAAGGAGGTGTTTGACATTCTGGGTTTTTCAAACAAAGAGTTTCTGTTGACAAAATTATTATACAGCTTTTGAAGCCAGTTTTCATCAGTCCCATGTGGTAACTGGAAGAGAAAAGCAAACCAAATAGCAAGTAAGACAACTAGAGACAAAACATTAATCAAGGGGAGGGAAAGTGCTAATTCTAAGAAACCAAGAAGAGCTGCACTTGAGTGCTCGACGTGGGAGGCTCCTTCTTCAACAGCAACAGAGGCATGAGTCTGTCTTTGCTCTTATTCTTTAGAGTGATATTTCAATAGACATTTTATCAATGCTCTTTTAGAAGAACAAGATATTATCAATGAAAAGGAAACAGTGATATAATGATATAAGGATGAAGAATTTTATTTCTGCAGAACTGGCAGTATTTTAATATTTTTTCCCAAAGTAGTCCAAAGATTCAGCAAAAAGTAGCACAAATTCCATTCAGTTCAGTTCAGTCACTCAGTTGTGTCCGACTCTTTGTGACCCCATGAATCGCAGCACACCAGGCCTCCCTGCAACCAACTCCCAGAGTTTACTCAAACTCATGCCCATCGAGTCAGTGGTGCCATCCAGCCATCTCATCCCCTGTCATCCCCTTCTCCTCCTGCCCCCAATCCCTCCCACCATCAGGGTCTTTTCCAATGAGTCAACTCTTCGCACCAGGTGGCCAAAGTATTGGAGTTTCAGCTTCAGCATCAGTCCTTCCAATGAACACCCAGGACTGATCTCCTTTAGGATGGACTGGTTGGATCTCCTTACAGTCCAAGGGACTCTCAAGAGTCTTCTCCAACACCACAGTTCAAAAGCATCAATTTTTCGGTGCTCAGCTTTCTTCACAGTCCAACTCTCACATCCATACATGACCACTGGAAAAACCATAGCCTTGACCAGACGGACCTTTGTTGGCAAAGTAATGTCTCTGCTTTTTAATATGCTATCTAGGTTGGTCATAACTTTCCTTCCAAGGAGCAAGTGTCTTTCACAGCTGCAGTCACCATCCCCAGTGATTTTGGAGCCCCAAAAAATAAAGTCTGACACTATTTCTACTGTCTCCCCATTCATTTCCCATGAGGTGATGGGACCAGATGCCATGATCTTAGTTTTCTCAATGTTAAGCTTTAAGCCAACTTTTTCACTCTCCTCTTTCACTTTCATCAAGAGGCTTTTCAGTTCCTCTTCACTCTCTGCCTTAAGGGTGGTGTCATCTGCATATCTGAGGTTATTTATATTTGTCCCGGCAATCAGATGACCATTATATCTACTACTGTGGGCAGGAATCCGTTAGAAGAAATGGAGTAGCCATCATAGTCAACAAGAGTCCGAAATGCAGTAGTTGGATGCAGTCTCAAAAATGACAGAATGATCTCTGTTCGTTTCCAAGGCAAACAAATTCCATTAGGTGAAAACAATTTTTATTCTTGGTTGAATGGAGAAAGGTTGGCACCCAAATGTAGTCCTCCCCATCTCCTGCCTCAGGAAGAGTTTTTCTTTTGTTTTACTGCCTAGTTAATAACTCCCTCCTTGAATTAAGGTCTTAACTACTTACACTAAGTACTTACTTAGTGTAAGTAGTTAAGAACAACTACTTACTTGTTCTTAATACTGGTGATTTTGAAGCTATCACCAGCTATATTCAGCCTGAACTCTGTGAATCTAATACTCCATAGTGTCCAAATGACACCTGCAAACTTCTCTGTGACACAGGTCACCTAGGGACCATCTCTGCAGTGTCAGTCACTCAGTTGAATCCGACTCTTTGCGATGTTATGGACTGTCGCCCGCCAGGCCCCTCTGTCCATGGGATTCCCCAGGCAAGAATACTGGAGTGGGCAGCCATTTTCTCCTCCAGGGGATCTTCCCAACCCAGGGATGAAACACAGGTCTCCTGTGTTGCAGGCAGATTCTTTACCATCTAAGCCACCAGAGAATCTCTATAGATTTGGTACAAATATTCCTAGAGCCCACATTGGTCTCTGCACCCTGCCCCTAGTAGATCATTCCAGAATGTTTGGCCTTGGTGCCAGACTTTTAATCTTACATCACTGCAGGGACTAAAACATAGGTGGCATCAGAAAGGATGGTCTGTGAGAAGAACCATGGAATTCAGAATTATAGGGAGAAAGTACCAGTACGTCTTCAACATTATAATCATGGAAGGGGGTGATAAATCTTTGGAAAAAAAAATAAGATGTGTGTGTTTAAACATTAAAATATCAATTTCAGACCAAAAGAGACCAAATACTGTCCTAGGGATTATTTTTTCCTATGGCCCCATGAAGGCCACTGCTAGGCTGACTCACTGTAAAGTTGTTCCTCCCAGAGGGTAATAACAATAGGAAAATTCCTAGAGACTCTTTTCTCAATTGTATGACGTTGATTTTTCAGCTGCACCTCCCAGTGGGTGACTCATGGAATCAGGAAGTAAGAGAAAACTCAGTTCCTGTTAGTCATTAACAACTGGAGTGTGGTTACTTGCTTTTTCCATGTCTACTCTATACACACACCCAGAGACAGCTTCAAAGGGCTCCTCCCTGCTAGACTGACCTAAGAGGTCATGCATGTTACCCATGGGTGGGCTATACATGCTGAGGGTGGGAGGTTTACCCGGCCTCCTGGGGTTCCTGCTATGAACTGCTGTCCCAGAATTAACAGCCAATCAACTGGTAATTGATCAATCAGGAATTTACATGTAGATTTTAAAATAGGCTCATCTATTATTGCTCTGAAGTTAAAGAAAATTATTTTAAAAAGTTACCAAGCATTCTTCATCCAGTAACTCCAAAATGCCCATTTTTGCTTCAATCAGGTCAATGACTGGTTGGTTGTCATAAAAATCTATCAGAGTCCAAGGAATGTCTTCCTTCATATATTCTTCTTGTTCAAGTTTAAAGACATGCTGGAAATCCAGACATTAATACAGAAAGTAAAAGAGAGTATTAGGATGTGCTTCTGAAGAACAGGACATAAACTTTTGGAAAATGTAGGCACATGACTTGATCTGTAATGTTTATGGAAGCCTCCGAGGTACATGTCACCTCCCTTACCCACAATCAATGCTGCTGAGCTCCTAACGTGGGCCTAGTTGTCCTCTTCCTGCCCAGGCTGAGTGGGTCCCCACATCCTGGGTGTAAACTCTGGGCCAGCCTGCCACCTTTGGCACTCAAGGTGGTCCTGGAGCCTCTTCCTGCTCAGCCACTGCTGCTGTCAAACATGGACCCAGTCTCTTTGACTGGGTTAAGAGCCAGCCCACCCGAGAGGCTAACAACTTGAAGAGCTTTGTGCATTACTTGTTTCAGCCACAGGGGCACAGGGAAGGCTGCCCAGCGGGCTGGCTCAGGCTCATCCTGGCTGCAGGCGGCAGAAGGGGAGGGGCTGTGAGGAGAAAGGCTCCCATGGGAGAATCCCAGAGGGGACTGCACGAAGCCCAGCAGGTGGCTGGGAACCGAACAGTGCCCACACAAGCAAGAGAGAGAGAGAGAGAGAGAGAGAGAGAGACAGAGAGAGCGCGCACAATGGTAATGGCTGGAGTGATGGATGGGGCTGCTAAGGATGGCAGAGGGGAAATCATGCCAGACCAGATTCTTGGTGAACCCCCAGGCAATCTCAGTTCTGTGGCCTTTTCCTGGGGGCAGTGAAGACCCATGGAGTTCATGACAAGACTTAGGTTCTGGAAAGGTAACTCGGTTTGGGGGTGGGAATGGCTTTGAAGAGGCCAGAACTGGAGGGGAGGGCCCAGTCAGGACTCAGCCCAGGGTTCCGCAGAGGCTGGCCACTGTGCAAGGAAGGGGAGTGAGAGCAAAGAGGCTGGGTGAACGCAAGGCTCAGGACACCGGGTCGGGGTGGTGCTTTAACCACAGAAGGGAGCACAGATGGCACAGAGGCCAAGAGAGGAAGGTGGCAGGCTCACTTTGTCACGGCTTAGCTCCCAGAGGCTGCTCAGATGCAGGGGTTCAGCAGAGGCCAGATTTATGGGACAGGAGCCAGGAGAGGACTCGCTAGGGCTTATACTTATATTTTAAGTCATTACCCTCCCAGGAGGATCTGCACATTGATAGATGACTCTAACAACGTCAAAGGGGGAAAAATAAGGAGGATGAAGTGGAAGAGGAGGCAGGCAGAATAAAAAAAGAAAAGAATGGAATTTCAGCCTCTGATGTGCTACTTTCAGAGTGTCTCACATATGTATCATTCTAAGGTTGCGGTGAATGTGTGTGTTGGGAAGCAAAGTGGCCCTGGAGTCGGGAGAGGGGCAGGATCCACATGTACTGTTTGACTTCAGGTGAGTTATGCTGCATATCCACTTGGAATAAATCTTAGTTTCAGTTTTAAATGCTAAACTTCCAGGGAATCCATGAGAATGATAACGGAATACAAATGTGGGGTGAAACTTAATGCTTATACATGGATTAACTCTGGAACAAGGAATAAGAAAGCAAAGAAGCATTTACTCAATATGATTCAATATTAAGAGTTCTCCTCACAAGAATACTAGGAAAATACAACTGATCCATTTTCAAAATGAGAAAACTGACGCTCAGAAAACCCAACACCCCAGGGGAAGGAGGTGGTAGATCTGAAACTCAAATCCACTTCAGTTTGAGCAAAAGCTCATGCTCTCTATGATGTCACACTATCTTTTCCTCATGAGTTGTGTGGGAGAAGCTGAATTTCAAAGGACAAGCAGGAGTTCTCCAGGTGAAGAGGAAGGGATGGGAAAGGACAGGGGCAGGTGGGTTGCGGCAGAGAGTAGGTGCAGATATCGAGGCTCACAAGGACTGGAGCCTGCAGGAAACTAAGCGACTTGGTCAGGCTGGAAGGGGTCTGTATCCAAGAATGGCAAGTGATGAACTGAAACAAACGTTGGTAGGTGCCTCCACAAAAATGAACTAGGATGGGAAGGTGCAGTTTCAAGAAACAGCCACAAGATGGTGCAGTGACCCAGCATGGGACTCTTAATGCTGGTAAGATTTGAAGAGGCTAAGTGCCAGTCAGCCTCTCTTCCTGTACGTACGTACGTACACACACACACACACACACACACACACACACACACCACACACACACACACACACACCACACACACACAGACACACACACACACCACACACACACAGACACACACACACACACACCACACACACACACACCACACACACACACACCACACACACCACACACACCACACACACACACCACACACACACACACACCACACACACACCACACACACACACACACACCACACACACACAGACACACACACACACCACACACACACACACACACCACACACACACACCACACACACACACACACACACCACACACACACCACACACAGACACACACACACCACACACAGACACACACACACCACACACACACACACACCACACACACACACCACACACACACACACACACCACACACACACCACACACACACACAGACACACACACACACCACACACACACACACCACACACACACCACACACACACCACACACACACACACACACACACACCACACACACACACACACACACACACACTGAAGAGGCGAAGAGCCAGTCAGCCTCTCTTCCTGTACGTGTACATACACACACACCCCCCTCCACACACACACCCACCCACCCCACCCACCCCTGAGAGCTAGCTTCAAGAAGGCAAAAAAGTCACCTACCAGGTTAAACTGCTGTTGCAGCTTTTCATTAGCATAATTGATGCAAAACTGTTCAAAGCTGTTCACATCAAAGGTTTCAAAACTGAAATACAGTTTAAACTAGTTAAAACACAACTTGAAGGACATACACATTTGTTTATAGGTTAGTATTTTTCACAACTTTAACAGTGTAACTTTTTTGTTTTCTGTGAGTTTTATTTTATTTTATTTTTTTATTTTAATGTTGACACTGAAATATTTTATTAATAAAGAACGTTGAGAAGCATACCAATTTAAATACAAAATTGTTTTTAAACTTGACAGTCATTACACTAAAACAGATCTGACAATCTTATTCACAGTTATTGTAGTTTACAGAACATTTAATTAATATTTCCTCTATTTATTCCTCCTCTCCCTCCCATTGCATGGCTCACACCTCTCTGTCTGTTAAACTGGCGACCACGGACACCTTGTCTCAATGTTGTCTGAAGTCTTTGAGTTTTAAACATGCCTCAATTCTTGTTTTAACCATCCTAGCAGTCAGCTTACAAGTCACATTTTTCCAGGCTGCCCCAGGAAGGAATCTGGTATGTACAAAACACCTACTTGAGGCAGGCACTAAAATAGGCATGTGCACATTATGGCATATCACATAATCTGCACAACAACACTGACATCAGCCTTATTATCCTCAGTTCATAGATGAGGAAATAAGACTGAGAAGTTCAAAAATTTGTCTGGGGTCACGCAGTCAGTGTCAGACTTAACTATGAGTCCACCTGACTGTAACACTTCTGCTCCCAGTGAAAAAGCAGCGTTGTCTCCTGTGCCCCCACTCCTTGCTGAAGGTAGAGGCAGCACAGTTTTGCCTCCCCCAGGGGCACTTTCATAGTCCTCAGAGGAAAAGAGCAAGGTCACAGCCCAGCAGACCCCTTCAGGCCCAAGGAAGACACGGCCCCACCTCTGTCTTCAGACTTTCAAAGGCTGCCTCTGGAGTTGCAGACCCAGGAGCTGAGAAGGCCTGGAGATGACAGCATGAAGAGCGGCTGGGACTGTGTGGGATCCGTGAGAACCAGGTCTGCCCTACAGGATGGTTGCTGCTCAGCTCAAGCCAGGTGTGGCCATGGATTAATCAGATCAGGATGTCTGGTCACCTGACTCTCAAAAGAATCCAGAAACCTGGACTTTCATGTGAATTACCCCACTCTGTAAAACACGATGTAGGCTGAACAGAACTGGGGCACCCGATCCACCACCTGGGCAGAGGAGCGTTTCTGCCAGGAGGAATCCGAGCGCTTTAGGTGCTGCCACTGATGCCCATCACCACGCTTAACCCTAACACCACCCTAGGTGAAGGGCTGCCCTGACTCCACGGTTACACGCAACGGTCAGAGGAGATGATGACCAACACAGAGCGGTGCCAGACACGCGAAATCTGACCCCAGCTCGTGGGGACTCTCCAGCCTTAGTTCTTAATCGCTCTAATCCTGAGAGGTTCCTGCCGGCGCCAACCACAGGTCCCCGGGGAGTCTCACTTGACTGAGCCCATTGGGCTCAGTGTAGAATTTCTGGGGAGGTTAAGGTCCCAGACTGTCCATGGAACAAGAGGAGAACCCAGAGTCTGACAGCCCCATTCCACTAGCACCCTGGATGATCCAGGGGTTCAGGTGGCCTGGACACTGCAGACAGCTACAGCTGGGCCTGGAGGGGAGGCAGAAGGGCCTCACTGTGCCCTGCAGCCCACAGTCAGGGCCAAAGGCAGGACTTCTCAGGGGAGGGGCCGGATGTCAAACATCAATGACATTACTTTTCCTGTTCACATCAGAACAATCCCTATGGTTTTTAAAGATGCATTCACAATTTCTTCCATTTGATAACTCTACGAGAGAGGCCCCATCTTACAGACACAAAAACTGAGGTTCAGTGACGCCGTCCAGGCCACACAATGGGTATGGTGCAGTGCTTGCTTACTCCCTGGGGTCTGACTCCTGGCCCCAAGCCCTTCCAGCTCGGCGTCCAGAGACCATAAGCATCTGGCTGGGTAGGGAACCACAAGCCTCCACGACGTCCCGAGCTGAAATCTCAAGGCTCACAGCTTGGGATTTAACTGTCTTCGTGCAGGGTAACTCCCCCTTGAGGCCGCTGTATTCCCAGCTCACCCTGAGCTCAGCTCTCGCAGCGGCTGCGGCTGCAAGGGCGAGTCCAGCCCTGAGCCTGCTGGGGAAAGGCGTGAGAGGATTCCCTCCAGACAGTGACACTCATACTTAAAGAGGAGAGATTCCTTTTTCGGAGGGGTGAAATGAATTCATGGGTGACAAGTGAGCATGTCACTTTTTAAATTTTTAAAGAGGGGTTTAATTTTAAAATTTAAAATATACTCTAACAAGTTCTCAAAAAAATTTACAGTTCCTCCTGCCTGAAGTTTGCCCACTTAGCCAAAAATTCAAGTTCCTTATTACCATGGTCTATCAGCTTTGTGGATGCCTGACGCCTGCCTGCTGTTCTCCTGACTCCTTATTCTCGGCTCCTTACTCTCAGCTGCCCCCTCTCTTCCTGGTGTCTGGTCAACTGGTGACACATCCATCCACTTATTCCTTTCCCAGGAACCATCCCAATCTCTGATGGCCTCTTCCTCCACTGAAATTTAAGTCCCAACAAGGCAGGGGCCAGATGTCTGTTCTGTTCACCCATCACACCTGACACAGTTCCTGGCAAATGAATGTGTGTTCTTGAATGAGATAATATACTCTTAAAAATAAAGGGCTATTTATTTTTAAAAAAAACACACAGAAAAGAACAGAGAAAAATATAACAATCACTTATGTCCATCACAATGAGAGAGACTATTATTAAGAAGGACTATTTCCATTTAAAAGTCTACTTAGATGCTTACTGGCTGCTGCTCAAATCCTTATTTTTAAGGTAAATAATTTACTAGACTAACCCAGCAATGTAAGAGTTTTATAACTGTTGACAGATACTATTAATTGGGAGTCACATGTATTAACTTAGAATCCAGATGGCAACCCACTCCAGTATTCTTGCCTGGAAAATCCAGGATGGAAAATCCATCCTCCATGGACGGAGGAGCCTGGTGGGCTATAGTCCATGGGATCGCAAGAGTTGGACACAATTTAGTGACTAAACCACCAAACCACCATCATGTTAAACAGGTAACACCCCTGAGTCTCATATGAAATAACTATGGGAAAAGCTATTGTGCTATATTTGGGTAGAAGCTGCCTGCCTCACCCCGCAGCAGGTAGCAGCCGGCCGGCAGAGCCAGCTCGCCCCTCCATTTGGGAAGTGGGGAGGGTGAGTTGCTTTCTTCAGGGTGTGGGGGGCTACTCCCCAATCCAGGTGGAATACTCTGTGATGCCTGCCCTGGGACAATCTGTCCCTCTCCCTTTGAGAAACCAGGGTTGGCCCTAGGAGGGGAAGGGGTTAGGCACTTGAGGCCAGCCTCTAACAAACAAAAGCCCAAGTGCTAACTCCTCTCAGAGCCAGCCTCCATGCTGGCCAGGCCTCCCTCCCTCACTCTCTCTGGCTATTCTATTCTTCAAGTGTCTTTAGGATGAATCTGACTCAGAAAAGCAGGACTGGGCAAAGAAAAGAAGCTAGGAAAAACCCTCCAGTGTGGTAACTTGATCCACCAAATGTATTAGAATTCATGGAGAAAGGGGCAAACACATGACCCCTATGATCCAAGAATAGACAAGGATGTAGGCATGAGGGGCCTGGTTGGTAAAAGGCTCAGGTCTGAGCCTACCTCTGGCCCTGTGCTTGTGGGCAAGGCGCAGGGTCTCTGGGGCTGTGAAGTGGGAGAGGTATGTCAGGGTTCCACACCTCATGGGGCCTCTGCAGGGAAACAGGTGGGTGCCATCCTCCTACGGAACTTGGTTCTCCCACCAGGAGAGCAACCGTGAATGAGTCTTCCTAAGCCTTGGTTGTTTCATCTGTAAAATGGGGATAATTATAAGGTTGTTTAAGGAATAAAAAAAGTGCATGGAAACCACTCAGCATGATAGTTGGCATTCGCTCTTCATGTTGGCCATTACTGATGTAGAATTTTTTTAACACACCCTACATAAAAGACATTGTAGCCCAGGAGACTGTACTTAACATCCATAGACGCAAAACCAGAGAACACCATCTTCCTGACCATGTGAAACACAAAACCACCAGACTAAAGCGACCTAAAGATAACAGGCATTTGACATTTAAATGAGGAAAGACAAGCTCACGGAAGAGAATCTTACCCATAAATGTCCAAAACACCAATAAAAGTGTGCTGCTTGCCTGAAAAGTGCAAGGCTTGGTTAATTCTCTCCACAATGAAGTCAAACAGGTGAGCGTAGATCTTTTTGGCCAGTGCATCCCTGGCATTGACAGCCTGGGGCCTGGTCATGGGCTTCACCACTGTCTCGGAGGTTGTGACGATCTTGCGATTACACAGCCACTGAGCCACTCTGCCACTCTCCAGGCCCAGGAGCTCACAGAACACCTCCAGGTGACCATCATCCTCCTTCAGAAACGAAAGACACAGCCCCGTCAGGCCATCTAAACTGGCACTGGCCCACCCAGCTGTGCCCCTCGACCTATGCGCGATCAGGCCTCATAACACAGAGCCAGGGCTGGGAGTGAAGCAGGAGGGCCCCTGGGGGCATGGAGCCTGCACCTGGTCCTTGGCTGGGCACTGCTGTGGTGATGCCAGGAGATCCCAGGCTGTGTTCTACCCAGATTTTCCTTCTGGCCAAAGAATGTCAGTAGTGATGTTTAGGTCACAGAAGCAATCCTCCCCCCTCTCCTGTACTTGTGGACACAGCCTTGAGGCCTCTCTCTGCCCTTTTGTATCACACCCAGGCCACCTGTCAGAACCTACACTTGCCCTGTCTCTCTCTGTGTAGCTGGGGCCTGCCCAGGGTGGGGTCTGGCCCAGGAGGGACCTCAGTGGTGTTGTCAGGGAGAATGTGGTGGGCTCCCTGAACTGAAGTGGTTTTCCAGCCAACATGAGGGCTGTGGTGGGGGAATTCTGGATGTACAAAGTGAATCTTGTTTCTCTCCCAAGCCTGGGCATGAAAGCTGCCCCACTGGCCAGCAGACGAGGAAAGGTCTGCTCCTGCTTTAGGCAGCAAGAACTAGGGGTCCCTGTCACTAGGCAAGGAGATGCAATCCCATGTGACTGCACACCACCATTCCTCTTGGGCAGGGAAAACTTCCCAGATGGGCTCATCTGTAGATAGCATCTCAGTCAATTGGGGAAAAATCACATGATTGCATTTAAAAAGCATCAGGTTATTGTGGCTCTAACAACCTAAAAAGTCCTGCTGCCTCCCTACTGCCCACCCACATCCCTTCTGATCAATATCACAATAACATAAAGCGTGTCAGTACTGTGAGGTTTGGCTGAGTTATTGGTTTCCTTCCTTCTAAGCAGGAACCAAACCTTCTGAGACAAAAACACCCAGCTATAGGGGGAAATGCAAAGGGGCAGCAAGTTTTAAAACATAAGATGGCTTCATTCAGATTGAATTTGCCCAATATTTCACGTTCTTGATGCAAATGAATGAAAATTATTTTCTACAAAGATCTGACATTTTTTTTGTGTGGGATTTGTCTCCTAAGATTGATAGACAAAGGAATTTTAGTCTATCAATTTTAACTCCTTCTCTAAAATGCTACCTTCACAACAAACTTCACAGAACAGAGTTCAAAGCCAGGGCATTTGGAAGTCATATCTTCAGTCTATGGGAATTTCAGAAGAAAAAGTGCAGAAGCCCATTTCTGAGGTAAATGAGCCAGGACCCAGTGGGAGAACTACACTGCACACCTTCCAGGCCTGCCATCACCTCCTCCAAACTTCCTAGTCCTTTGGGAACTGACTCTGCAAGGACTGGATACTGGTGGGGATGGGGCAAAGCACTTAGAGTGATAATCTGAAGAATTACTTCCGTGTCACAGGGCAACAGGACTGATGCACTGAGCCAAAAAGCATATCCTCCACATCTGCTCAGCGCTCTCTCCCCTTAAACAGCAGGTACCAGAGCTGAGAAATGAACAGGTGTACAAAATTAACAACTGTTCCCATCGGTTGTTCTAGAGGCATTGTTATGGACTGAATGTCTCAGTCATATGAAAAATTCATGTGTTGAAGTCTTAACCCCCAATGTGGTGGTATTCGGAAGTGGGGCCTTAGGGAAGTAATGAGGTTTAGATGTGGATGGGGTCCCTTGATGGGATTAGTGTCCTTATAAGAAGAGGAAAGAGAATAGAGCTTGCTTTTTCTCTGCCCTGTGAGGACACAGCAAGAGAGAGGGCAGCTGTCTGGAAGTCAGCATCTTGAGAACTCCACTGTGTTGGCACCTTGATCTTGAATGAACTTCCAGACTCTAGGACTGTGAGAAGATAGATTTCTGTTGTTAAGCCACCTGGCCTGTGGTATTTTATTATGACAACTGGAATTGACTAAGACACACACTGCTAACACAAAGCTTTAACAGCAAGGAGATTTTGCATTTCACAGAAACAGTTTAAACATGTGACTGTCCTCGTTACATGGATATTGTTGAGGATAACCACATACCTCACACCAAAGCATAACATTTGTCGCCTAGCAGACATATACATAAACTTATCTTGTGTCCATGAAATGAAGAAATCAGTCACAAAACTTACATGGAAGCCTATTTCCAGAGAGGAAGCCAGCACCACTGGTGTTTCATTCAGGCATGTGTCAGGAGGTAAGACATGTCTAGTGCCCTTAAAGTCTTTCATGATCTGTGCCCCTCCCCCACACACACATTTTCTGACCTCACCCACCACTTCTCCTTTCTCTCACTTGTCTTTGCATTTACCAACGTTTTGGCTGTTTTTCCAATAACACTTCCTGCCCGAGGGCCTTTGTACCTGCTGTTCCCTCTACTTGGAATATTCCTCCTCCAGATATAGACACAATTTCATTTCCTTACTGAATTAGAAAGGTCTTCTCTGAATGCCCGATACAAAAGGCACAGCCTGTCCCCACCTATTCTGCTATATTTTCCTTTTTTTATGTTTGGGCCATGTCCTATGGCATGTGGGATCTTAGCTTCCTGATCAGAGATTGAACCCACATCCCCTGCATTAGAAGTGTGGAGACTTAACCACTGGACTACCAGAGAAGTCCCTGTTTTCCTTCTTTTTAAAAAATATTTTTAATTTATTTTTATTTTGAGCTGTGCTCGGTCTTTGTTGCTGTGTAGACTTCTCTCTAGCTGTGGTGAGTAGGGGCTGCTCTCTAGTTGCGGTGTGCAGGCTTCTCAATGAGGTGGCTTCTCTTGGTGAGGAACGCAGGCTCTAGGTGTGTGGGCTTCAGCAGCTATGGTACTCGGGCTCAGCAGTTGTGGTTCCTGGACTCTAGAGCACAGACTCAACAGTTGTGGTCCATGGGCTTAGTTGTTCTGCAGCATGTGGGGCCCTCCCTGACCAGGGATCAAACCTGTGCCTCCTGCACTGACAAGCGGATTCTTTACCCCTGAGCCACCAGGGAAGCCCTCTATTTTCATTTTCAATGGTTATTGCCAGCTGCCAGAGCCTATAACTTTTACTGTGTCTCCTCCCCTCCATTTTCTCCTCCTGATCAAAAGCTTCATGAAGGCCTTCTGATTTTGTTTTGTTCACTGATGCTTCTCCAGAGCCTACAACAGTATCTGGCACAGGGCAGGCAATCAATAAAAATTTGTTGAATAAAAGGAAAACACACAGAGGATGTGTTTCCCCCTTCTCTGCTGTTGCAAGGGGAAGAAAAAAGCTTTACTCTTTGAAGGTAACCCATGGAAACCCCGATCTTCCTTGATCCTGTTAAACTGATCCCCCTAGTAGGTCCAGTGTGCCTGGTGCTAAAATGCAAAAGCAGGGTAACCCTGACAGCTTCTGCTGATGATCCTCCCAACACAGAATGGGGGAAACAAACACATATCTTACGTTGATCACTGATCTCTCGTTGCCCACTGCCGTGATCTGTACGTTGCCCAGATGTAGGATGGCTGCCAGGACCTTAAAAACGTCCATCTGAAAATCTTCCTTGAAACCTGAAAACAAAATTTTTCCCAAATTAGGAATACTCCATTTCTTCTCTTGCATAATCACTAGTAAGACAAGCACCTGAATTCTTTCAGGACTGATGGTATTAGACCATCAGTGCCAAGAGACGGGACAGGGTACAGGGAGTGGACCCCAGGGAGAATCTGGCTCACTAGTTCGTCTTTCTAGTTTGATGTGTGCAGACACACAGTGTTAACTGTTCAACCCACCAGGCTTCCCCTCTGTGGTGGCTGCTAGGAAGTTCAACTCAGAAATTAATATCTGAGTATCCATTTCACGTCAGGTTCCTGGCAGAACTGGCTCTCATTCATTCTGTATGCTGTGCTTCCTTTTTTTTTAAAAAAAATTAAATTTTTAAAGTTTCTTTCTTTTTTTTTTTAATGTGGACCATTTTTTAAGAAGTCTGCATTGAATTTATTACAATATTGCTTCTATTTTATGTTTTGGGTGTTTTGTGTTTTTTTTTTTTTTTTTTTGGCTGCAAGATATGTGGGATCTTAGCTCCCAACCAAACTTGCACCTTCTGCTTTGGAAGGCCAACACTTAACCACTGGCCTGCCAGGGAAGTCCCTGCTGTGCTTTTTTTATTGTTTTTTTTTTTTTTTTCTTTTTTGTTTTTAAGTTCCACAAATGCTTTTTATGGTGGGTGCTGGAAGGACTCCATTTGCCCCTCCAGCTATGCACCCTGCTATCTGCCCCAGGGGGCTGGCCTGTGTGGACTAAGGTGATGGGTTTTCCTGCCCTCTGGTTGGGTCTGGCCAATGTGTACCCTGTCAGATCAGAGAACAGGAGGAGAAGATACGGGTACACCTCCCCATCTCTTTCCTTGCAGTTGCCTCAGGCTGGCTGTGCAGGCGGTATCTATTCCAGGTCTGGTGCTGACTTTCCCGGACCCTCCTTTCAGGCTCAAGTAACACCCCTGTGCCCAAACAGAAAGAGTTGCTGTTTCCAGGGCCCTACTGCTCCTTGCAGCCCTCTCAGCCCCACACAATTTACAATTTGTAGTTGCTCCCTTGATAAATAAACTTTCCTCCTTTTATCTTATTTGAATGTGCCCCATGTTCCCAGCATGGGACCCTGACCAATATAGGTGGAATATCACTTGTGAATAAAAAGAGTTGCCTGCCAAATCAGCAAACAAGGGATGCTGTGGCCCTCAAGCTCTCAGCCACTAACACTGCTCCCAGGAGTGCACCCTGAGGGGACTCAGGATGGAGAAAAGCAGAACACTGGTCCTAGGTAGCTAAGGTGCATATCAAAGGAATGATTTCACTGAGCCCAGACTTTTGCATCTTCCCATGAATATAATAAAAAAGCGCTAAATTCCTTAATTTGAGATACCTGGTTTTCTTTAACTAACAGTAATATTTTGATGTTCTGACTACGTGGTCTTGTTGGAAGACTCCTATATATCCTGGATCCTCCCTTACCTCTTCAGAGCAGTCCCTCAGAGCTGTCTGAGAGGCTGCATCCCGGGCTCAAGCCCTCAGTTTTGTCTACTGAGTAAAACATAATTTTCAGTTTTCAGGTTGTGCATTTTTTTTTTCAGCCAACAGGAGACCCTCACTTCCCTCAGCAAAGAAGCAGCAGGCCCTAAATGCCCAGAAAGAGCCATTGTGGTCACGGCTGCTTCTGACTTGAAGATACCTGGAATATCTCAATAGCAGCCAAGTCATGTTCCAAAAGAATTTCAAAACCTGGAGAGACTTCTCTCCTTCAAAGATCACACAAAATCAAAGTCACATATGATTTCATTTGCTATATGATTCAGGGAACTCAAACTGGGGCTCTGTAACAACCTAGAGGTATGGGGAAGGGTGGGAGGCGGGAGGGAGGGGACATATGTACACCTATGGGTGATTCATGTTGATGATGTATGGCAGAAACCAAATCAATATTGTAAAGCCGTTATCCTTCAATTAAAAATAAATAATTTTTTAAAAATCAGATATGATTTCAAAGCAAAATTACATAGATGCCTCCAGTCCAGGCAGTTGCAGTCACTCCATTTCAAGCTAACATTTCCATTTGAATGACAGCCAATTCCAAAAGAAATAACCTCCAGGGCATCACCATGATAAATGACAGGTAAGTGACGAGGAAAAGCAACTAAAAATTCAAACTTTGAGAATCTGCTCTGACACTCCCACTCTCTGCATAATCCATGACTAAGCCCATGCCTTCCAGAACTGACAAAACTGAAATAACAACTCCAAAGGAATGACTCAAAGAAAGAACTTAAGACCTCAGTTAAGTAATTCTCTTCAGTGAGATAAAATCCTTGCAAAAGCACTGATGGCTTGAGGTGGGTTTCAACAAGAAACATAGTGGTCAAGTTCCTTGAACCTGAGGTCCAGGAAAGATGTTTCCAGAGTTTTCTTTCTGACAGAGATCTTAATGGTTGGGCAAAGATCAAAGGATGAATTAAATGAGAGTCAGCAGAAGAACAAAGGAAGTAAGCTCTTGATCAAAATGCACCCCATTCTGCTTCCTCAGGGGGTAACTTGTGGTCTGCTAAGGTCCCTGTGATATTGTTATTTGTATTAAGAAATATATAAATTGGCCTTCATACAGTTTCTGGCACAGAACTTCTAAAAACCTGGGAACTTCCTAAGAGGTAAAAGAGACTAAGATGTCTTTCGGTAATGAGGCAATTTTGGAATGCCTCCTGGGTCATGTGTGGATGGGGGCTGGTTGCCAGGAGAAACAATCCTGCGATGGAGAGTGGGAACTTTCAGGCTCACCCCTTAACCTTCGGGGAGCAGAGAGGCACTGCAAGTTGAACTGACTGCCAATAGCCAATGATTTAATCAGTGTACATGTACTGAAGTCTCCATAAACCCCAAAAGGACAAGGTTTGGAGAGCCCCGGAGTGAACCCATGGGACTGGGGAGAGTGATGCTCTCAGCACAGAAGTTTTTGCTCCTTCCCATATACTTGCTCCTATATATCTGTTCCAATGGGCTTTTCTTGAGCTTTATATCCTTTCATAATAAACTGGTGATGTACTAAGTAAAATATGTTTCCCTGAGTTCTGTGAGCTGCTTTAGCAAATTGGTCGAATTCCAGGAGGTGGTTAAGGGAACCTCTGGTTTACAGCCTCTTAGTCAGGAGCACCAGTAACAACCTGGACAGGGGTCTGTCACCTGACATGGGCAGGGGCCGGGGTCCAGTCATGCGGGACTGAGCCCTTAACCTGTGAGATCTGATGCTTCCTCCAGGTAGACAATGTCAGCACTGAGTTGAACTACAGGATACCCAGCTGGTGTCCAGGGAACAGCGTGGTGTGGGAGACCCCCGCCCCAGCAACACACTGGAATTGGGTATCAGAACCATTTCAGTACCTCAGAAGCAGAGCCAGAAGAGAAAGAGCATGAAACTCTGCATCAGGCACTATCCTGAGTACTTTCCACATGTTACCTCAACTAATCCTTACAACTATATCAAGTACTAGTATTTTTTAGGCTCCAAAATCACTGCAAATGGTGACTGCAGCCATGAAATTAAAAGACACTTGCTTCTTGGAAGAAAAGTTATGACCAACCTAGACAGCATATTAAAAAGCAGAGACATTACCTTGCCAACAAAGGTCTATCTAGTCAGAGCCATGGTTTTTCCAGTGGTCATGTATGGATATGAGAGTTGGATTATAAAGAAAGCTGAGCGCTGAAGAATTGATGCTTTTGAACTGTGGTGTTGGAAAAGACTCTTGAGAGTCCCTTGGACTGCAAGGAGATCCAACCAGTCCATCCTAAAGGAAATCAGTCCTGAATATTCATTGGAAGGACCGATGTTGAAGCTGAAACTCCAATACTTTGGCCACCTGAATTGCAAAACCAACTCATTGGAAAAGACCCTGATGCTGGGAAAGATTGAAGGTGGGAGGAAAAGGGGACGACAGAGGATGAGATGGTTGGATGGCATCACCAGTATGATGGACATGAGTTTGAGTAGGCTCCAGGAGTTGGTGATGGACAGGGAACCCTGGCCTGCTGCAGTTCATGGGGTCACAAAGAGTCGGATATGACTGAGTCACTGAACTAAACTGAACTGTTCCCATTTTACAGAGAAGAAACTAAAGCACAGAAAGTCTAGCGAACTTGCCAAGGTCACAATCACATTGTGTGTTATGGCTAAGCAGTTTAGTGTCAGCGACCACTGCAGTGTGTGAAAAGACCCATGGAGTCACAAAGCTGCCCTAGTTCACCCCAGGGTGTCTAAATGTGATTCTCTCCTAACAACCCCACACCAGGCAAAGAAGTGTGAGCAGATTCCAGGGGTCTGTTTACTGGGTGTGCTGTGAAGTGGATCTGGGTACTGAGCGGGATGACCTCACTGCTAATCTTGCCCGTCTCTCCAAACCGTCTCCATAACAAATCATGGCAATGGACAAATCAACAGCTAGTACTTATTTAGCAATGACATTTTAAGAAAGGTGTCTGCCCAAATGTGTTATAAGTCTATGTACGATTCACATTGGGCAGTCTGCCCATGAGGGAATCAACATCTAAGACAGAAAACACTGAGGCACAAACAAGAGGACACGACCCACAGGATAAGTGGTGTACATGAGGCATTCACATTGTTGGAGATGTGCTGTTGGACAGAACTTTCCTTGGGGATGAAATGTTCTTTATCTGTGCTGAACTACATGGCAGCGATTTGCTACATATGGTTATGAGCACTTGAAACATGCCTAGTGCAACTGAGGAACTGAATTTTAAGTTATCTCATTTTAACTAACATAGATAATCATCTGTGGCTAGTGGTTACTGTGTTGGACAAGGAAGGTTCACAGACCATGAAATTTGACACATAGCATGAGATTATTGGCTGTGGGGGTCACAGGATGATGGCAATCTCAAAGTTACAGTGAGTTCCATATGTGACTTCACTCTCCAACAGGAAACAGGTCTCCAAATACTGCTCAAACTTCTTTGTCTGGTCAGGGGCCCTCAGGAGATGTCCATGTTTTAGATACACTGGG